TGTATTTATTTTCTGCAGAAGGCTGCAGAAGGGCTAAGTACAGTAGACACCTTTTTTTTTTCCTGATAACTAAACTGGCAAAGGATATTGATTTTTTTTCTTTCTCTTATTCACTATTGTATCCCTACCACCAGTATAGTCATAGCAACAGGTTTGTATGAAAAATAAGTTGCATACCAGATCATCAATTTGGGGAATCCACAATCAGGCAAGAGATGCTGCTGGAAGTTTGCCTAGTTCCATTATTTGGAGACTGTGATCACACAGCAGAAGGATGCAGTCTTCTGATATCTCTGAATTCATCCCTGTAAGATGATTAAATATGCCCTAGTGAAATGGGGAGCAGCCAACTTCAAAGGAAATTCAATGATCACAGAAGTGGCTGAGAAATTGTCATTTCATTTTTAATTTCTCTCCCATATAAGGAATTTGCTCAGATCTGACCAAGGTCAGTGTTGCTATGGTTACAATTAGTAGAAACCCTGTTTAAAACAATCGAGTTGGGATAGTAAAAAGTTCAGAGATGCAATTCCCAGAGAAGCCCTTTTGATGCCAGGAACCATCTCTCACACATTACAACTGACTGGGACTGGTTAATTTCACTTCAGTTCCAATGAATTCATTGACTTAAACTAACTTTCTTTAGCCAGTGGAATGGCTTGCCTTCAGAGGTTGTGGGTGCTCCATCACTGGAAGCTTTTAAGAAGAGACTTGACAACCACTTATCTGGAATGGTATAGGGTATCCTGCCTGAGCAAGGGGTTGGACTAGAAGACCTTCAAGGTTCCTTCTAACACTATTATTCTGTTCTGTTCTAACCCAGAGCTGACTGGATATAACTTTTCACATATCACACTAACCTGGCCTATTAACTACTTAAGCAAATAGACTAGTTGCACAGATATAAAATAGGTGGTATCTGGTCCAAAAGTAGTTACTGAGGAGAATCTAGGTGTCCTAGTGGACAACCACTTAAGTATAAGCCAGCAGTATGTTTCAGCTGCCAAAAAAGCCAATTCAGTCCTAGGCTGCATCAGCTGAGGATCACGTGAAGTAATAGAACCATTTTGTACTGAACTGGTAAGACCACACTTGGAGTACTGCATCCAGTTCTGGTTACCACGATACAAAAAAGATGCTGAGACTTTAAAAAAGAGTGCAGAGAAGAGTAAAAAAAAAGATGATAAGGGTTTTGGAGGCTAAACTATACAATGAATTATTGCTAGGTATGACTAGTCTAAGAAAGAGAAGAACTAGGGGGTGACTGGATAGCAGTCTTCTATCTTGAGGGGCTTCAGATTTGAGGGGCTGTCACAGAAAAGAGAGGGTTGACCTATTCTCTAAAGCACCTGAGGACAGGACAAGAAGTAACAGGCGGAAGATTATCAAAGAGAGATCCAACCTAGAATTAAGGAGAAATTTCCTGACAGTGAGAACAATTAATTAGTGGTATGGCTTGCCTCCAGAAGCTGTGGATGCTCCAACATTAGAGGTTTTTAAGAAGAGTTTGGACAACCATTTGTATGGAATGGTGTAGGGTCTCCTGTTTGAGCAGGGGGTTGGACTAGTAGACTCCAAGGTCCTTTCCAACCCTATTATTGTATGTTCTACATTCTAGTTGTCAACAATGAACATTTTTTGATTCCCTCCATTCCTTACTGTTATGCTATAATATGCAGTTAGAATTCAGCAATATTTCATACCTTATCCCTGACCTAACTGACAATTCTATACAAATATATCTTAAAATAGGCTCCACTAAAACCTATTAAATTTAACTATTTTAATTTTTAAAAACCACATTTTACAAAAAGCAGGATTAATTTTACATGTGTTTGTCTTTTGTTTGTGTTGTCAATTTTTTCATTCAAGGATAATTGTCCTCTTGTAATTTTTTTTAAGCGCTGGTTTTTAACTCTTATACCTTTTTGTTGATTGATTTCCTGCCTTTATTATTTATATAAATAACTCAAGGCAGCAAACACACACAATACTCCTTCCACCTCCTATTTTCCTCACAACAACAACCCTGTGAGGTGAATTGGACTGAGAAAGAGCCCAGAGTCACCCTTTTGTCTTTCGTGCCTAAGGTGGGACTAGAACTCATGGTCTCTTGGCTTCTAGCCTGGTGCCTTAACCACTAGATTAAACTAGCATCAACTATTCTCTATCAGGATTTACTAAAATATTTCTTATTTGGTCTATTAATAATAATAATAATAATGATAAAGTTGGAAGTGACCTTGGAGGTCATCTAGTCCAACCCCTGCTCAGGCAGGAAACCCTATACCATTTCAGACAAATGACTGCCCAGTTTGTGTACTACGTTAAAAAAAATCTTGACTTACATCTGTGTATGTGTGTGTGTGTGTGTGTGTGTTATTTAACATATTCATATGCACACTCTTTTTCCCTTCCAGGACTATTCTATAAATGTATCTCCCGTAGAAAGCGCAGAACTCCGACACAATGAAATACACTGTCATTCTCAGTGCAAGGTACTATGAACACTTAATTTTAGAAAAAGGTGAATTAAGTAATCATTAAAAAGAATGAAAACTGACTTAAGAACTATCTGAGCAGACTGATCATGATAGCCTCATCTCCAACAGTTGTAATGAAATAAATACAATTTATTTATTTAATGTTTATATAGCTACTCTAGTTGTTAATCACTGTTATAGTTTTGCCACTTTTTTCCCATATACAATTCATACTCTGTAATGGGTGTTACCACTTCAATGGCTGGGTTGACACACTGTACTAAGCCAAATTGAGTTTGGATAGTTTCAGATTTGCCTAGTGCGCTAACTCACCCAGTTGTGGTTCATTCAAAAACAAACTGAACAACATATCTTTACAGTATCTGATGAAGGACTTCGAAAATAGGTGGATTAAATTGTGCATTTATTCCCTTTTTGGGTTCTATGAGCCAGCTAGGCATGGTAGAAGTGATGTTTTGGATGTGAATGTATCTGGTATCAGCCAGTGAAACAGTATGGCAGTCAATTCTGTTCTTGAGCTGAAGAGTGGAGATGTGCCATGGCATGATAGTCAGAGCAGGGAAGAATCAGAATTCATGCAGTTGTTGACCCTTTTCAAAAGAAAGAATGCCTTATTGGCTAGATATATTTGAACTTATTGCATTCAAGCTTTTTTCTCTTCATTAGCACTATTTGTTTCTTTTAGCACAGTGTTTCTCAACCTTGGCAACTTTACGATGTGTGGACTTCAACTCCCAGAATTCTCCAGCTAGCGTTGCTAGCTGGAGAATTTTGGGAGTTGAAGTCCACACATCGTAAAGTTGCCAAGGTTGAGAAACACTGTAATAGCAGCAAGGAAATAATGATGAACAGCAACCAAGTCATGAAGTTGATAGGTTTGTGCCAAATACCTAATGAGCAAGGATAAAAAAGAGCCACTAATTCTCTCCTTCAGTTCCTCATATGTATAGGACAGGGATATACAATTAAAGTATACTATGAGGATAGTCAGATGAAAATCACACAGTATTTTTATCCATTTACAACATCAATGATAAATAACAATTAAGTGCATAGGAAGCTACCCACTGACTTCTCCATACCAAAAATTCCATCCACAGGAAAGGAAAGGTTGGAAGAAGTGGGTGTAAGTGATCTGTTCTCTTAATAACTATTGTGACCAAATGATCTGATCAGAGGAAGTGATGAATGCCAAACACAACATTTGTTCAATATGAATACATATGAACAATATCTTTTTTTTAAAAAAATAATAATCAAAGTTGACAAGAAATAATTTTTATCCAGTTCAGTACAATGTCACATGAGGATTTCAGTCATTACTTTCATAGTTGAGCTGCATTTGATTGGGAAAGATAGTAACATATCTCCCCATTCTCCTTAAGGTGCTCTGTGATGATTAATAGATTTAATTAAAGTAGGCAAACTTATGGAAATCATCTGCTCCTACTAGCTGCAGATGGCAGCCAAATGCCTATTAGACATACAGTAGGCAGCAAGTCAATTACACCCACTTCTCCCAAACTTTCTCAGCTGGGGTTCCATGAGAGATCATGACTGGGAAAAAAAATCTTTTTTTTTTTACTTTGCACGTTGCTATGCTGGTTGGGGAATTCTGGGAATTGAAGTCCACACATCTTCCTGCCGCCAAGGTTGAGAAACACTGATTTAAAGGATTTTCCATAGTAATAAGGTTGATAAAAGCTATCCTCACTTTAGGAAAGAGAGAAATTAATTGTCAATTTTCAACAATTGCCTGTCTCCAAAACATTATGATGAGCGCTGCTAAAAAGAAAGTCAATTTTGGAAGATGAAACACTGGACAACATTTCTCAAAAAGAAAGATAGGAAAAAATACTCCAAATACCAAATCTATTTCTGTCTGTTTATAAATTGCAATACATTTACATTAGATTTGGATAATTGCATAAATCAAAGCTTTGCACACTGCTGATACTTTTGTAATCTGAAAAGGTTTTTTTTTTTTATTAATCCAGTCTTCTGTCTGCAACCCTTTCCCTTAGAAAATGGCAAAACAATTTCTGTACTCTTTATTTATTTTACAAGGACAATCTCAAGTTATTCTATTTATGGAAGGTGAAACCTGGATATTCATCAGTGGTAGCAACTTGACCACATATTTTATTTTTCTATAATTCAATACATAGTGACAGTTAGCTTCATATTCTATTCAGAGGTGCTTTTATTTGCAACTGAAAAAGCATGTCTTTGGAAATCTGAGAAAACCAAATATATGGCCTCTATTCATCTATCAATGTTTTAGCATGTCATAATCAAATGATTCCCAGTGGCTTACATCAAAATCTGATCTACAGTCTGATCAAAAGACCAACAGGGGCTATTCAAAATCAGATTTATGTCTTTATTATTTTTATTATTTATACTGTAAGAGATCACGGTAAAGAAGAACAAAAGACAGAGCAAAAGAATACAATTTAATATCACCATTTTTTTCTCTATGTTGTTTTTCAGCAAATGAAAACATTTCCTTGCAACTTGCTTACTGTTCGTGTAATACGATTGAGGAATCTCCGCCGGGCTGATACCTGTGAGTAATCTTTGTTTTATTACAGTTACAGTTTTTATTAGTATATATTAGCCACTGTTATTTAGACATTTGTAGATTAAAAACAGCTTCAGAATTTCATTATTGATGAATTTATTGCATAAGGAATTGCATCTATTTCCATGTCCCAATAGCCTTTATGACTTAATGATTAGTGAATTCTGAAGTTGGGTGAAAGGAATATTTGTAATCTGTGTGTGAAGGAAGACTAATCTTGACATGACCTATGATTCTGTGATTGAGGATAACCCATGAAAGGTCATGAAAAGAAGTGAAGCAGAAAAAAATATTTAAAAGTACTTTGGTTCTTGAAATCACAAACAGACTGACTATATTGAGACATAAGATATTTTACATTTTTGTCACATAAAATTGATTGACACATTTATCTTTACTGTATGGATAATCTCTCTTTAGAAAACAGGAAATCAATATCTTTGTTAAAATTGCTTCCCTGAACTGCTTCCTCAGGTGTATTTTGCACTGCAACTCTTATCACCCCAGATTATCAGCCATTTCTGCTGGGCTGTATAGTAATTACAGCCTATAATGTCTAGGGAAATTGTTGATGGGTTGATCTCTCTGGCCTAGAGATAGGAAATCAGATAAGATCTCAGATATTTTGGCCTTCAACTTCTATCACCTCTAACCAACATGTCAATCAGAAGGGCCTGAGAGCAATACAATTTAAATCTTTTAGAAGTATGTGGTAAGTAGTTTGCATTAGATTATCAAACAAAGGTAAACAAAGTCATAACCAAAAGCCAACATGGGTTTCTCAAAAACAGATCATGCCAGACAAATCTTATTGCATTCTTTGACAAAGTGACAAAATTAGTGGGCCAGAGGAATAATTTCCTGTGGATATAATTTACTTGGACTTGTAAGGCATTTGATAAATTAGACCACAACCTACTGCTTGATAAGATAGAAAAATGTGGGTTAGACAGCATCACCACCAGATGGATTTGTAACTGGCTGACCAACCACACTCAATGTGTAGTCCTCAATGGAACTGCATCTACATGGAGGGAAGTATGCAGTGGGGTAGCCCGAAGCTCTGTTTTAGGCCCAGTACTCTTCAACATCTTCGTCAATGATTTGGATGAGGGATAGATGGGGAACTCATCACATTTCCAAGCTGACAGGAATAGCCAACACTCCAGAAGATAGGCTTATGTTACAGAAGACTGTTGACAGATTTGAGCATTGGGTGCTATCTAACAAATTCAGTGGTGAAAAAAGTAAGGTTCTACATTTAGGCAAGAAAAACCAAATGTATAGGTATAGTATAGGTGGTACCTGGTTCAATAGTAGTAACTGCAAGAGGAATCTTGGAGTCCTAATGGACAATCACTTAGATACCAGCCAGCAGTGTGCTGCAGCTGCCAAAAAATCCAACACAGTTCTAGGCTGCATTAATAGAGGGATAGAATCAAGATAACATGAAGTGTTAATACCACTTTATAATGCCTTGGTAAGGCCACACTTGGAATACTGCATCCAGTTTTGTTCACCACGATGTAAAAAAGATGTTGAGACTCCTGAACAGGGGTCTTCAAACTTGGCCCTTTTATGACTCATGGACTTCAACTCCCAGAATTCCTCAGCCAGGCACGCTGGCTGAGGAATTCTGGGAGTTGAAGTCCATGCGTCATAAAAGCACCAAGTTTGAAGACCCCTGCTCTAGAAAGAGTATAGAGAATAGCAACAAAGATGATCAGGGTACTGGAGGCTAAAACATATAAAGAACAGTTGCTGGAATTGGTTATGTCTAGCTAATGAAAAGAAGGACTAAGGGGTGACATGATAGCACTGTTCCAATATCTCAGGGATTGCCACAAAGAAGAGGAAGTCAAGCTATTCTTCAGAGCACTGAAGGCAGGACAAGAAGCAATGGGTGGAAACTAATCAAGGAGAGAAGCAACCTAGAACTAAGGAGAAATTTCCTGACTGTTAGATCAATGAATCAGTGGAACAACTTGCCTCCAGAAGTTGTGAATGCTTCAACACTGGGAATTTTTAAGACAAGATTGGACAATCATTTGTCTGAAATGGTATAGAGTTTTCTGCTTGAGCAGAGGGTTGGACTAGAAAACCTCCAAGGTCCTCCCAAGTCTATTATTCTGTTCTGTTCAATGCATGCAGAAATAAACAATGATGTGCAATATCCATATATCAAGAAAATTGGTGAAATGTATATTTCAATGATTCTTCTAAGCAAGCAGAAGCCGACATAATTTTACACAGTAAACGTTAAATACAGTATAGTTTTGAATATATATTTGTGTGTGTCTCTCTGTTTGTGGGTGTTGTGTGGAATTATTTGCAATTCAAAGTCAGAAAAAACAGGTGCAATTGGGAAACTCTTGAAGTCAGTCTTTTTAACACCTCCTTTGTCAGGTGTTAACATGTTTCATGTGATCATTATGGATGTGTTCACCAATGATTTAATTTTGGGCCTTATTAACAACTTTCCAGTTTTTTAAAAAGAAGTAACACAATCAGCAGGAAAGATGTCCTAATTTATGAACCTGCCATATTCAGTATTTCATACTGTACATAACTAATAAATATGCATTCAATTTTGCAGAAAGATCTATGCTTAACTTTATAACATGTATAAGCTATGTCAACTTCTATTTTTAAGAATGTGCAGAAACATAGAATTTGATCAGGGAGTTTCAACTTGTTCGTGCAATTACATATTTGCAGGTTAAGCAGATTTGCCTAGTATCATCTCTTTATCACCCTAGGGCTTGTTCCTTCCTATACTCCATGAGCAAAGAATTTCATCGCCATGAGGAGAATGTATAAAATCAGTCCCAGAAATTACTTCTTGATTCATTTTAATGCATTTCAGTTCTTTAAAACAGTTCATTCCTCATACGATATCACATGTGCTGAATATTAGATTACTGAATTGTACATATAACCACAATTTAGCCCAAAATTTCCATTGTTAAGTGAGACATTTGTTAAGTAGGTTTTGCCGTATTTTACAACCGTTCTTGCCACAGTTGCTAAGTGAATCACTATAGTTGATAATTTAGTAACCCAGTTGTTAAGTGAATCTGGCTTCCCCATTGACTTTGCTTGTCAGAAGATCGCAGAAGGTGACCACATGACTTTGGGACACAGCAATGGTCAGCATTGGAAAAAACATAAGGAAAAAAAATCCCTTATGTTTTACCAATGAAACATAATCACTGGAGAAGCTTAACAACAATTACAGATAGTCCTCAACTTGCAACAGTTCATTTAGTGACTGTTCCACAGCAATGGTCATAAATATGAAGCAGTTGCCAAGCATCTGAATTTTGATCACATGATCAAAATTCTGCAAAGGTCGCAACTGTGAAAAACAGTCATAAGTCACATTTTTCAGTGCCATTGTGATTTTGAACACTCACGAACTGCTGCAAGTTGACGTCTATCTGTAATTGTTGTTAAGCTTCTTCAGTGATTATGCTTCATTGATAAAACATAAGGGATTTTTTTCCCCTTATTCCTATTATTGCTATTAAAAAAAATGAGACTCTTAATACCAAATTGCATTTCTCAAATGTAATTCTGATGCTGCCATGCAAATATTATAGCTATATAATATAGCTATATTTCTCCTATTAGTCATGCAATCTCTATCAATATGCATAAGCATCTGTGAGGGGGAGAGGAGCAGGTAATAAAACATGCATTATGGTGTCATGGTGCAAACTCCATTCCTTTGTGCTTGCATTGTGATGTCTCAGTACAAGCATCAAAGGTAGAATTTGTGATATCACAATGCATGTTTCATCATATTGACTTCTTTGTGATTAGGAGTGGATGCTTATGATGCATGGATGCATCATATGAGTAGACAGGAATGCACACCGGATGTGAACGTATAAGAACTATAATTTTCAGGAAACTGCATACATAATATATTGTATGCAATCTGCATTTTAAAAAAAAAGATTGAGGGTTTCTAATTCATTAAATTCTCCTTGGTAGAGATAAAAACTCCAAAAGCAGGTTATTTAAAAATAGGTGGAGAAAATATTGGATGCTTCCTTTTAAATAACTGGGGAGATAAAAGATAATAATAGATGTCATGTACATCTGTCACTGATAGGTCAAAACATGTGATATAAGAGTTGCAGAACTTGTTGATTTATTGGCATACTTTATGTTTTGAGGTGTCTCAAGATAAATGCTATGTGATTATTATTTAAAACATAGGGCGGACTCAGTGATATAATGATAGACTCTTGTATGACAGAACCTTGGCCATTTATGGGATTTATGCTACCTTGAGTATGATTGGCAGCTAGCTTAAAAACTGGCAACATTATCTTTTGTTTCTCTGTTATACAGTAAGCTACTCTGATTGTTATGTGACTCTTTGCCTACCGACTGCTACAACTGAGAAGCTGAAGACTAAAACTGTAAATAATTGCAAGGACCCTGTTTGGAATGAAACCTTTTACTATAGAATTCAAAGACAAGTTAAGGTGAAAACCTTTTATCTCTTTTAGCTGCTGCTGAACGGCTTCTAAAATATATTCCACTTTATCCATATTTGTATGTCATGATATTTGTAGGTTTTGGGGTGGGGTTCTTTTTGCTTTTCACCAATCATGCTTGTTTGTGTTATTTTTTTTAAAAAGAAAAAGATAACTGAGGGAGGGTATGATTCTTTGCTACAGTATCTATACTCTGATTAGGAATTTATATACACTTAACTTGTGTCTAGTATTGGTACGATATTTCTCATTTTTACTTCTCAACCAAATTAGGAAAAGTAAAGTACTGTATATCTAGAATTAAGCAGGCAACTGTAACTTGAAAGGTTGCTTGTAACTAATGAAACACCCCTCTGCTTTATTAAAGTAACCTTTCTTTTTTCAGTGCCTAAAAAAATTGCAGCTGCTTTAATGTTGCATTAACTCTAATCAATCAACTCCTTAAAGCAACCACAACTTTGGTTCATGTTCATGTGGAAGCCTGAAGAAAGATTTAATGAATGGTAGAGATATGTTGTGCTCATGATCATATGAATTCTGAAAAACCTCTTCCAATTCATTTTTAAATCATGCATAATCCTACTTGCTAATACATATTGAAAGTCACTGAAGTATACAAGATTTTATGTCAAAATCACACTATAATGTCCAACTTCTACATTTGAACATCAATTTTAAATATACCAACAGCACTTCAAGGAAGAGAATAAATAAAATCTGACAACCACAGTCTGCAACAATAAATATCAAAAAATCTTGAAGCAACTTGTGGACATGTATGGTGACATGAGCTTTCGTTAATAAAATCTGAATTCTTCTGATCTATTTGATGACATAGATTCTTATTTATGAAAGATAATTTCATAACGAATGTGTTCCAGTTTGTATTCCAGAATAAGGATGGAGTTGGGTGGATATAAATGTAATAAATACCAGAGCACTATTCTTTGTGTTTGCTACTATAAACAAAGGATTACAAAGCATTCTGTGCTGTGGACTAAATATCAAAGAAGGAGAATATTCCAGCTTTCTTACAGATGATGCAGATAGGTCCTCTCCAGAAGTGCTCTAGCAGTTTTTAGAAGTAAATCTTCCCAAACTGGAAGACTACTTAGATCATTCATTTTACAAACTGCACTGTAAGAAAGATATTAGAGAAGCGGGAACAGACTTAGAGAAAGAAAACTAGGATGATCAGGGGATTAGAATCTGAACCATGTAATGAGAGACTGCTGGAACTGAGCATGTTTGAGTTTTGAGAAGATTGAGAGCTCATCCTCATATCCCACTAAATATGGCATTAAGACGCCTTTTAGAGGACATGTCCACATTTTGTTGCCTCCAACTCATCCCTAGTCCACCATGGTGATATCTTAAAGTATCAATAAAAGAGAATATATGTAGTTCAGGGTTGAACTGTGGAGTCATTGGTCTGAACTTGGTTGTTTGCTTGCAGATTTTGGCCTGCCAGGGTTGGAAGGGATCCCAATTACACAGGGAAAGCTACTCTATATAAACAGAAAACAAACCCAACTCCCTTCTAACACTGAAGTTGTTATCTAGTTGGGTAATAAAATATCTGCAAGAAACCAAGCTCAGAGAGCACCAAGAACTCCACAGTATCTTAAAGTCATATTTATCTATCCCAGTTTCAAAATCAGAATTTCCATCTTCTTCCAGCAGGAGTCATGCTATAAAAGCAATCAAATGCCTCACTGATGATATCTGTGATTATGCAATCAGATGCTGGGATCCTTTGAATGGCTATTGTTCTCTTTAGGTTGCAGACATGACCCTGTCATTTGACACTGCCCTCCATTTTGACTTGGGCTACCACAGAAATTGGATACCTGCCTCCCACAGATGCATCTGCCTACATAATGTCTTCCTTGTTGCAGCTGTTATTTGTATACTTTATTGTAAAAGGGCAATAAAGCAGAAATTTCAAGCCTATATGATCAGTGCTGAAGGAAATACAGAATCTGTATTTCAGCCACATCTGCCCTAATGTTTGCTTTATAGATGCAGGTAATGCCTGAAATATAATATATTTCTTATTCCTCACAGAATGTGCTAGAGTTCTCTGTGTATGACTCAGATGCTATTACTCAAGATGATCACCTTTTCACTATCAGTTTTGATGTAGCTCGTCTTCCTGATAATGAGAACGTTCTTATGAATTTTAAATGTGATCCAGAGGTGAGAAATATTATACTGTAAGAGTGAGAATATTGTTAATGTCTAAACAGTCTGTGGTCCACTAAGCTGAATAGAGTCCACCAGTCGTTAGCACCTTGATAAGGATTTTTGTTGGCTGCCTACCTGCTAGGTACCCATGATTGTAACTACAAAACCTGGCTATTGGGCTACCATAACTTTTCTCAATCATAAAAGAAACAAGATTTTTCTCCATAATTGATTTATCAGTTATACCTACAAAAATGCTGCTAATAAATGATAACTCATTGGGAGTTGGGTGGCATATAAATTTAATAAATTATTATTACTAGGAAGATTCCATGCATCTTATGAAAAAGAACCTCAGCATTTGGCTATTATTGAGCACCAGAAAAAGTGAGGGCAAGTAACCTGCATTTCTGTTTTGATTTTTGATTTAGATTTGCAGATTTTATATAGATTTATCTATAATTTTTTTCCAATTTGTCATATTAGTCACATATTCCACATTAACATTGTCTGATTTTCTTTAAAAAAAGTGTTGACTTTTTGATAGAGTTCACTTTTGTCTACTCCTTGCACTGCAGCCTTATTTTAATTTCTAGTTGATTATTTAGTTACAATTTTTATTTATTCATTTTATTATTAAATTTATTCATTGCCCATCTCACCCTTCCATGAGCGGCCAGCATAGGAAGGGAAGATTGGGTGGAGAATTGCCTTGTTTGAGACTATCTAGATATGAAGTAAGTTTCATATGAGTTCAAAGTGAAGAACTTACGATTTCCTCTTAAATATAATGTAAAATAAATTAAAAATATAATGATGAAAAAGTTCTGGTTCACTGTTGTTTTCTGTTAACTTGGAAACAGTTGATAGTTGTCTACGTTACCTAATGTTTCTATCTGATTGCATGCTATAAGTCCCAAATTGTGTTTTAACTTTAAGGAGTAAGCAAACTGGTGCCTTTGAAATATTTGGTACTTCCATTCCATTTTCTAGAAATCATGTTTCTTGTCAAAATGTAAGAAAAATTGTAATCTGGAGAGCAAAATGCATGAATAAAAAAAAGCTTCCATATATTTGCTTATTATTGATGAAAATTATAGGTGTGTTTGATGGAAAAATGAAAATTTCCAGTTTTCATGCTTACATCATTTTTCAATATGTCACTGACCAATTTTTAATGTGGGGTGAAGTTGTATGCATGTGCTTAAAAATGATGTTAAAGGAAAGATTATACGCCCATTTCAAATCCAGTTTTACTATTTTCTTCCTGGCAGACACAAGAAGAGCTGGAAGTTGAATTTATAGTGGAACCTGCGTAAGCATTTTCCATTCTTTATTTTCTGTATTACTGTGACATACTACAGAATTATTTCAAATTGATTGAGAAAATAGAGGCAATCAGTAGATACAAGAATTACAATTTTCAGTAGAAACAAATAAATAGATCTGTTTGGGAACTGTTTTCCATTAAATATTAATAAAATGCTATCGGGGATATAGTCCTCCTTATATATTGTTTTTTAATTAAACAATAAGGAAACAACAGTGTATAACTGCTTCCTTAAATCTATCTCATACTGCTCTAGTAACATAGAAAAACAGAACAATAAAACGTTTTGGCAGAAAAACTACTCAATAAACCTCAACATCTGGAGAGGATCCAAACAATTGCTTTAATAAAGCTAGTGAGTTACAGTGAAATATATCTCCCTTGCATTCAAATGAACACAAGCAAGAGCCATTGTTGGTCAAAGACAGTTTGATCATGTGTATATTTAAAATACACTCCCACACAAAGATAATTGATTTACAAGTGATAAGGAATAAGATAACTACAAAGAAAGAGAGAGGCATATTTCATGGTGTAAAAACATAGATAAATTCCTTGAAAGGCAATGTAGTACTTTAATAGATGACTTACAACAAGCCATTGTTATTGTTATTCTAACAATCCCTGTAACATACTGTAGAAGAAAGGGTCTTCAAACTTGGCCCTTTTATGACTTGTGGACTTCAACTGTGGCTGAGGAATTCTGGGAGTTGAAGTCCACTAGTGATAAAAGGGCCAAGTTTGAAGACCCCTGCTGTAGAAGAAAGATAAGGAGACACAGCAATTTACGGAGGAGACACAGAACTCCTTCAATTTACTCTCTATTTAAGGTATGGAAACTATAATTAGTTAGAAACCATCAGCAAGAAATTCCATTTGTAAAGGTGCTACATAATTTCCTATGCAAAGTCCTGTATAAATACCATATTGATATAAGGAAGCCTATAAGTGATGGGTACATAATTACATCAGCCCGAGTTCAAATTCTATCTCTTCACAAGGTTTAAACCAAATATCAGAACTTTGGTTCAGAATAAGCACTAGTGCAAGCGGTCTTTACATTGTTTTCTATATATTCCTAGAAGGAACAATGACAAACCATCAAAATAACCCTCTAACAATTTGGGGCAACTATAGGAATTTTAAAATCTCAGTATATGGATCCTACTCTAAACATGTATTTTCAGTTTCTATTTGGATGAGAATGAAACAATATTTGCAGTAATATTGGAACTATCTATTTCTTTACATTTGTTTTCTAGGTGCGGTCCTCCAGAAACACTAATTACAAATGGAGTTCTAGTGGTAAATTTTGAATTCTATTTTTCGTGAAACTTTTTGCAGTTCATCACTGTTAATAATACTGCTGTGATATAGGTGAATGTGAGGTATGAGTAACCAACTCACATTTTTTCTGGGAGTATCCAGATACTTCATTCTGAAGCAATGCACTTTAAATTAATGATGATTGAATTTTCAGATATGTTTGGCCATATAATTAATCCTTGTTTAAGCATAGCATAAGAACTGGATTTTCTTCTGAGTATTGTAAAACACATACATCTAAGAGGAAGACCACCTCTAAATTGAGATATATTGGTTTAAAATTTCTCTCCCATTTTCCCCAACTTTGCCAAGGATTTCCAGGGCAAAAGATGGTCTGTGTTCTTTCTTTACCATTGGGGAAAAGAGTCGTGGAATTAGAAGCCAGCCATTAACTGTCTCTGTGTGATACCCATCTTTGTATGTTTTAAAAGACATTGAAAAGAACTCAAATAGCAGGTAGGAAAGACATTGCCAGATCCAGAGACATGTTTTATGTGGATCTCTTACTTAAAACATTTCCCACTTTGAATAAAGAGAACATAAATTGTTTTGCTTTCAAAGAATTAAACCAAAGTGCTTCAAGAGTTGACTCTTGTCAAGATTCTTAGGTTTTGAGAGAATATTCTGGCCTGACTAGAGTAGATCATCTCTTTATCTCAGTTGACTACTAAATTACCAAGATACCCCTCCATATTAACAATACTGTATGAGATTTCCTACAGTGAGTCCAATGGATTTCACACTCTCATTGGTCAGGAAAGCAAATTTCCTTTGATACTCTCTAACCTAGCTTGAGATTGGGACTGGAAGTGATAGCAGCAATTATTTTGTCAACTATTAAATTATCTGGCAAATTTATATTTATTTTTTGTAATTAACAAATATTATTAAATTGTTTTGTTTATTCTAACAAAAAGCAACCTTTTAATTTTGAATCACCCATCACTTATTAAATGCTTCTTTTAATTTGTCTAGCTGGATTAATTTATCCCTCACCTAGTATAAACTGTGACTTGTCTGAAGACTCAATCAAGCTATCTTCATTTATTTATTTATTTATTTGTTTAATTGCTTTTTAAAACCATCATCTCTCTCATAAACCTTTTCCCTTTATTTGGTTATAGATAAACAGATTTCTGAAGATTGACTTTTTTGGTTCTTATTCAAGTGTTGTCTATTGTGACTTGGAGATATTTTAAATATCCTAATGTTTGTATATTTGGATGGTTTTTTTGTCTTTTACCTTTTTATGATATGATTCTCCTTAATCCCCCTTGATTCATGAACAGGTCACATCCAAGGTCTAGTTTTTGTCTTATGATATGGCCTGATATTTAAAGAGAGAAGAGAAGGTTGATCTGTTGTCATAGCATTCCATTTTCTCTCCAGAGGTTATCAGTACATTTCTTGTGCTTGATACGGTGACTCCAATTTCTCCCATATACTTTGCACAACTTGTTGACAGGGACATTATAGAATCAACAGAGTTTGATAATTTCTTTTAATGCAACCACTAAATTAGCTGTCTGTCTCCTGCCATGGTTAAACTAGTACCTGCTAAGAAATTCCTTGACCAACTATGGTATGTAATAAATCTTCAAATAATGTGTTTAGAATGGAAGTTTTACAAGTCTCACTAAGTTAAATATAAATATTTCCCCATTTGTCCTTTCTATTTTTTTTACCCTACTTTTTCAAACAAAAGAAGTATATTCCCAATCTGCTATCCTCCAGCAACTAAATTACACCATCAGCTTTTTAAAAAAATACTGAATTAAAAAAATACTCCCAATAGAGTATCTTCAGCAATGTCATGGAGATTTCTTCCTCTCTTAGTGTAGATCAGTGAAATCCACACATCATAAGGCTGCCAAGTAGGTTATCCTGTCTAGATTATCTTGGCCATTAATTTACCTCTAAGATTGCAACCAGGTTCTCTTCCAGTTCATCTGGCTCATATTTCCTCTCCTCTTCCCCGCCCTGCAGTGCCTGAAGAAGCAATCTCCAAAGCAATATTGTCAACCTCATATGTTTCATACATTTTAAATAATTTTGTAGCCCATTTTAATTATCTACCATCTGTGTTTGTTCTTTTGGCTCTTTTGGCAGTTTTTTTTTTACATCTCAGAGAACCAAATTTTAATTATTCCACTGGAGTTCCCATACATATCATCAACATAGAAGTTTTTTTGTTTTACTTTTGTTTTTCAGGGAAGGAAATTGGGTTTTTTTTTCATTGATGTGGTTTTCCTTTGTGTTCAATTCTGTTTCTCCTTTTGTTTACTCTTTATATCCCACCTTGGGAACTTTCTTTTATCTTTTAGTTTAGATCATATATTTTCCTACTAAAACCCTGTTTTCACTTTGCCCCTATTTTAGGTGAGTTCCTGGGTTGTCACCTGTCCACATCATTTGGTGGACGATATACTCATATGAAACTATTGATACATAGTTTTTAGTCTAGAAACATTTATTTCAATGCAAAGCATTTGAATCATGCACAGTAGCAGCTTGTTGGCTGGGCTACTTACCTATATTCTTTACACTCTTATTGAAAGCAAAAACAACTTTTATTTGAAGGGTAACAAAGAAAATCAGTGCCAGGAATCAGCAAAGAAACCAGTGGAAGTTTCCTATTGTTCTCATAGCCAACACTGAATTATATTAATATATCTTCAAATTATTTTTTTCTTTGCTGTTAGGTTTTCTACAGGTGTACTGGTGCTGTTCAGTACAATACAGTAAGATACAACTGTATCTTACAATACAGTTTTAAATCTAGAAGTGATCATTTACATTGCTTTTGTTTATTACTTCTGTTTATTACAGTGTCGTGAAATTTGTACACTGGAAGCTGAGGTGGACCAAAGCAAGCGACGAAAATCACGTGAGTTTATATAAAATCATTTAATAGTCATAACTGGATGTTTTCATTACTGTGCTAAACAACAGAAGGGAAAAAATTGAAACAAAGAACTCAGGAAATTGTCCATGATTCATGAGGTCTCTTCCCATAACTCCAGTGATCTCATTATTACTTGCCATTACTTGGCACATTGATTACGGCTGTTAGCCAATCAGGTCAAAGTATTATTTCTTTAGAGATGGAGTTATTAATGGTGAGCAAGAATAATTTTCATGAGGTTACCCAGATTGTCAATGACCAAAGTGAGGGAAATTAAATGATCAAGATTTTATCAGTGAAGTGGTAAAGCGATGGGAACCTAGCTTTTTGGTCTGTTCTTTTCTATATCTTTTCCCTTATACCATTTCCTCACCATTGACTAGACAAACTTCTTGAATTCCGTCTGCTCACACTAAAGAAAATTATTGATCATTTAGAGTATTTACCACCTTTCTAAAAATCACAAAAGAATTCAAATTGCAACATTCTAGTATTGCAAGATTCTAAAACAATACTAAAATACAAAAACATCACAATATTCAAGGTAGCTGAAATATCTACAGGTACATTTTGTTTTGCATTTATGATTAATGATTAATGTCCATGAGGTTATAGAATTTCCTTCAAGATCATTCAATTATCTGATTTTCTTAAAATGTGCTTGATCTGAGAATACTCATAAAACATTTTTACAAAGGTTCCCCACCACCACCATGTTGCAAATGTCGATTAATATGAACATTTTAATGTTCACAACATGCTCCAGGATCCATCGATGAAGCAGTGTCACTTGGTGCACTGTAGGAAATGTGCCTATCATGGCACCTGCTTTGTATAACAGTCTCCTTCTGGGATATGAACTGTACCAACCTGTTGGCCTTCTGGAAGTCTATAAAGACCTAGTTTTCCCTCACATTCTGGGGCCAGAATGTTAATAGAACTCCGGAATTAACATGTCTGTGTGATATGTTAACAATGTGTTTTTTAAAGGGCCTTGACTCAGCCTTTTCTTTCATTGATTAATAAATTTGTATGATGGTTTTGAGAAAGAGCAGGCTTGATATAATGGCTAATGCATCAGATTTGAAGCCAGGACACCACATGTTCTAGTACTTCCTTAGGGACAAAACTAGCTGGGTGACCTTGAACTAGTCACTCTCTCTCTCAGTCCTAGAAAGAAGAGAAGGGCAAATCATCCAAACTTTGTGAAGAAAATTGCAAGAACTAGGAAGTCAGAGAGGGAGGGGGGAGGGAGAGGGAGGGGGGAGAGATAAATGAATTAAAGAGAGAGAGGGAGAGGGAGAGGGAGGGAGAGAGAGAGAGAGGGAGAGAGGGAGATATGAATGAATTTTAATTTTAATTCTGGTTGCCACTCAGATCAGTTTTGGTGAACGGATGACCATAGAAATTTCCTTATAGATTTTTTCAAATTATCTTTATATACCAAATAATTTTGTTTTAATTATTAATTAATTAAATTATTATTTTATTCAAGAATTTATATTATTCACATTGAAATGTTTCATTGTATTTTTGCTTGTTATGAAAACCTCTGTTATAATGATGTTTTTTCATATTCTTTTCCTTTTGTTTTTAGAGAAAGACCTTTCACTTTCTATAGAAGGATCATATGAAGGGACACAAACTCTTAAGTTGGGTTCAGATGCAATTGTCACACCTCCGTGTCCTGCTACGTTCCATTATATCAAGTACAAGGATCCATCATTGAATGTTAAACTACCAAAGACAAAACCACATTATAATCCTGTATGTCAGTCTAATCCATTAATCACAATCATTACAAATGTCCTTTCATTAATTTATTATAATAAGCCTTTTATGAAAAAAAAACCTATATATCTATATATCCTTTTTTTCTTTAGCGTACCTGTTCTTGTTCCATCAAGGAAGATGTTCCAACTGTGAAACTGAATTCCCTGCCTATGGGAGAGAAAGTGCCAATAGTGGAAGTGAGTGCCTTCATTAAATACTGGAAATAATATGTATTTATTTGTGAATTTATAAAACACTTCAGTTAAAATGTACATGAATATACAAAAGATGCAGCCAATGCAACAATAATAAAATAATGTACTTTTTTTTTTAAAAAAAAAATACAATTATATCATTATACTTTTGAAAATATATAAGTTTCCTAAAATTACTGGGAACTCCAAAAATCTTCCAGAACAGCCAACTTCACAAGCTTTGAAAAGCCATGAGAATCTCAGCCAGCCTTTCCTCAAGGGGGGGGTCGCAGTTTCAGAGGAAGGAAATCTCCACCAAGAATGTCCACTTTTAGAGTCCCTTTCCATTGCACTTATTGATAAGTGGGGACTATCAGAAATATCTATGTCCTTGGATTAGGCAGGCATAATCTATGTGGGACAAGGGGCGGTAGGTAAATAGGCCCTAAGTCACATAAGGGTTTTATCTATGATAACCAACTGCTTGAATTGTATTTGGAAGTATATGTGTAGTCATTGCAGCTGCAGAAGTATGCAGAGGGATTTCAAGCTCCATGTAAAATGAATTTAGTTATTCAAATGGAAGAATACAAGGGCATAAGTGACCATCTTGTTCTGGGTAAGGCTACAATATTGCAACACTGCCCTGAAGTATTTCAGTTTCTCTTTCCCAGAATGGATTACCTCTACCTTTTTGCCTATCACTACTGTCATCTTCCCCCTGATCTCTCTTTGCCTAAGCTAATTAAGCTCCCCTCATAATCACCCAGTCACCAGATAGTCAATACTTCAATACATTATGCAGGGCAACTTCTCTTCTTTTTATGTGGTTGGTGGCTCACAGTTTCCTCAATTCAGTCACAATTCTACATTGGGCAATACAGTTGGTATTCCTCCTTCAGTTCTGTTTACCCATTCTCCTCCATAGCTTGCATGACTGGCAATTCCACCTGGCAGTTTCTAGTTCTTCTACCATATTTTGGCCTACACCACCCAAATCTCTCTTTCCTCTTTACTTTCTTAACATCTTCTTTAAGAAGACTTTAGTGTCTTATCTTCTTCTACCTTTTGCATTTTTGGATCCAAACAATGTGATTCCCTAACTCTCTAAGGTAATTTTGGTTGCATACTCTACTGAGTACCATCGGAGATCAAAAGAGGATTTTGTTTAGATAAACCCTGTGAGTTCTGGGCAACATTAACTTAATGCCAGGGATTCAGTTTCTTGGAGCAATAATCTCTTCTTCAAGCATGGATAATGATCTTCTATTTAACCTAAATTTTGGATTGCTTCAGGCAAAAGAATGAAATCCTTCATTGTGCACCCACAGCACTCCTTTGCAGAAAATATGCTGCCTTCCTGTGCAAATCTGAGATGCCTATCTTCACAATGTGTAGGTCTTGAGAAGATCTTCCACTGCTAAATTGGTTTTCTTCCTAGTCAGCTGCTGCTTCAGAAGAAATATTGCAAAAGTTGCAGGGTGGGAAGGTTTCTAATGAAACTTCACCTCATCTCATTTTCTGCCCTACTGGATTTCTTTCTTCCCATTATAACAAGGCACAATCAGATTTTTTAATCATTTCCCCATCCATCCTGAGTAGATTCAAGAGATTACTTTGCAGTTCCAAGGCATTGTCCCCCTTCCACTTACTACAAAATAAAAGTCACACGCAATAACAAAAATTGCCAGGTGTTAGATGGAACAATGATTTGTTGAATGCCACTAATCAGCCAAAGATAACCAGGAAGACTGCTGGCTAAATTTCCTGGTCGTAATGGTAAAACAGATCAGTAGGACTCTCAATATGAACCCTAGTTATTAGGAAGTAACTGATGATAGAGCTGGAGATAGAGACAGAGACAAAGACAGAACCAGAGACAGAGATAGAGACAGAGATTGTGAGAAAGATAAACATACAGATAAAAATATCCTTCCAAATTTAAAAAGTTCGTCATTCTGAATAGTTCACTATTAGTTTCTTTCGATTATTAGTTTATTTTATAGGCAGGGACTGAAGCTAAAGAAGATGGCCCCATGGGTTACTCAAGTTAAAGAACAAAGGTTGCTAGAGAGAAGGCAGATGTTTTGGATTTAAACCAGAGGGAAATAGCTTAGGTAGCTGATATAAATCAGATATTTGACTGTTTGCATTTTCCAGAGGTTAAAGATATTTATCACATGTATTCAGTCTTATGTTTCCTACTATTTTTGCTATTGCTATCCCATCTCCAGGACTAGATTAAGGTTGAACTTCCAATTCAGTTTGATTAATTACAAATTAACTAGCCCTAAAAGTTAGCCACACTTTGCAATTCTGAGTACATAATCATAAGGAGAAGTTTTCAATTCCTTTTTTTCTTCTTTCTCTACAGTTGTCTATACTACATTTATAACAAATTTTAGGGCTGAGTAATCACTGAGAAATATCTCCATTGGGTTATGATGGTAGAAAATGCACAATTGTGTATTATAGCCATTCTTTAGACTTGAAAATTTTGGAGTGCAAAAACCAAAATATTTTAGATGTTCTGGAAACTTTTATACCAGTGTAGAAATGTAACAATTAAAGAGTGGAGATGGGCAGTTCATATATTATAATCATGTGAATTAGCTCATCACATAGTTAGGATAATTTCCTCTAGTCTCGTGCAAACATGGGGAAACCCCCCAAAATGACCTTTCATGAAATAAAAAATATTAGGCCATTATTAACTTATTACTTATGGCAGCTACAATGCTGGAGTTTAAATTAACTTTTAGCCTCAGGACTTGTCAACCCACTCCTTGTTCCTTTACACAGGAATTAAGTTATTCAAATTATTTCTGGGAAATACTCTGAGTCACTGTGTTTTGAAGAAAAGTAACTTTCATAATTATTTTAATAGCAGTTTAAAGAGTGCAGCTAATGCAGACATGTCAAACTCATGATGTCATGTGACATCGTGCAATGTACCGGAGCTTTTTACCCATTGCCAGCAATGAGGTGGGCACAGTTTCCTGGTGACACGTCCGGCGGGCTGGCACGTCCTACGGGCTGGCAGCTTGATACCCCTGAGCGAATGTTTTTTTTTTTAAATTTAAAGTGGAAATATGTTCATTCTGTGACTTTTACATGTTTACATTCTGTTTTTCAGGAAAAAAAGTACAATTTGCACGTAAAAGTGAACGATTGGTAAGATGCACCAATAATTAACATCACTATTACTTTTCATATCTGGGCTGCTGAGTTAAAGATTGCACAAGGCAAAAGTGGGGTTAGTAGTAATTGAGCAGAAATTTCTAGGAAAGCAGACCATCAAATAAGATACAGTTAAATACAACATAATTAGAACTGTATAGAAGAATTTAAAAAAACTAATACAATAAACAATTGACAAAATTGTGCACATAATGATGGTGTGGAAAGAAAGGACTCGAGCCAGGACTTTGAGGAAGGAAAGATTTAATTTGCGCAGGTTCAGAAAGCAAGGGTTCTGAACCTCGAGGAGTGTTCAGAGTTCGCATATATAGTTCATACAACGTATGCATTTCCTGACCCCTCTGGACCCCATATATGGTAATATTATAAACATTGTGTTCTCAGCATTCTTGATAGTATGGAAAAATACCAGACGGTTGAACATTGACATAGAGGTAAAAATAGGGAATTGGCTACTAAGCAAAGCAGAAAACAGGATATGGCTTAAATGGTCAAGGACAGTGGGGCAGAACATTATCTCGAGACACAGCAATTTCTGGAATGCTCTCTGCCCCACATCAATGAAACAGGTTCATATACCATTAAAGCAAGGTTTTTTTAAAAAAAACCTCAAATCTCAGACGCTGAACCAATGTATACCAAACAAATCAAATAAACAAACAGACATTCAAACTAAAAATAGTATATTTTACATTTCTAAAACTGCTAAAATATTTAAAAGTCCGAGAGAACAAAAAAGAAAAAAAAAGAAAAAAACCTCTTATAGCTCAACTGAAAAGTAATTCCAGAGTCATATTAAAACAGAAATAAGTACGCATTTTATTTTATGAACACTTAACACTTCAGAGCTTAAAAATGATACATCATTAAATCTTCATAAAAACATTATATGGCAAGGATGTGGACGTAATCCAAGTTAATGAACTAAGGAGAGAGACTTTGGGGAGGAGAAACTTTTCCCGCAGAACTTCACTTTCCTCTTTTACTCTTTGGGTTACTTTGTATGAAGAAAGGATATATATAGAATCTTCTTCCTTGCCAAAGGAGATAGGAACTGCCATGTGTGGATTTCCTTGCACGGAACTTTTTTAGGATGGAGAAAAAAGAAGAAAGTTTCATGGAGGGGGAAATGCAGAAGCTGGATGCAGAAATTTATGGACCACATTCAGCCCCCCTCCTTGACACTTCCTTTAGGTGCTAGTAATATCATATTGTATCTATTAATATGTACCACTCCTAATGAATGTTATTAAAATCAAATAACGAGTTATGAAGCATTCATTATAGGTTAACACCATGGAACCTTAGTTCACATGTTTCTTAGATGCAGGACAACACAATTCTTCCTACCTGAGTCCATTCTGAAAAGATTGTGAAGAGGGAATTCCCTTTTCATTACAGGAGTCCATTTTGTCAGTCTTTTACGATGTCTATACCTGAGTGCTATCTAAAAGTACTTTTGAGATGTGCAGTGTATTGTGTGGAATACCTGAACAGAAAACAGCTATTTCATAGATCGTGACAGTGACACTTTCAATCATCTCTTGTTTTAATTACATTTCTGTGTGATCATAGGTATCTCGTATATTGAGATAAAGTTTCTAATCTATGTTTCATGTCTTAGTAATTGTTCCTGCCCAGGAGACCTCGATGTACGCTTGGGGTATGAGCTCTGTTCACAAGAGCAAGAGTTCTTGTGTAAGCGAAAAAAAATTGTTGCTCAAACATTGAAGCAGATTCTCCAGCTAGATTATGACTTGCAAGATCATGAGGTATGTGGGTTGCTGACAGAGGTTTCTTAACATTAAAGGAAATGAATTCATTCTATTTCCAATAAGTTTTTCCCCATTCATTAGTTATTTGCTTATCAGTTTTGGATTATCTTTGTTGTGTTTTATCTTGTTTTTTTTGTATTTTTTTTTAGTTCACTACTGCAAAATGGGGTTTTTAAATAAGAAATGGGATATAGATATATACATCTTTCTAATAATTAAACAATGCATTTTCTCTGACTGTATTTGTATTGTTATTTGAAGGAACAAGTTCTTAAGAACTGACACAGTGATATCCTTTGGTGTTATTAAAAAAACCCTAAGTTCCTTTTTTTTCAAGTGACTGAATGCCAATGATATATTGTCCTTCTTTAGATATTCAGTTCTAACAGTGTTTCTCAAACTTGGCAACTTTAAGATGTGTGGACTTCAATTTCAGAATTCCCCAGCCAGCATGACTTAATATTGCCAAGTTTGAGAAATCTGAGGTAGAGCATATGAAGGAGCACTCAGGTAAGTATAGGGCTAATCCCTTGTCCTCCAAACACCACATATTTATTATCCAGGTTCTATTTTGTGCTTATTTTTTATTTGCCATATCCTTGTTTTACCAAGGTTCCTGTGGTAGCAATCATGACAACTGGAGGTGGGACAAGGTCATACACAACAACATTTGGCTCTATGCAAGCACTCAAAAAACTGAATATTATGGATTGTGTAACATACCTATCTGGCTTGTCTGGAACTTCATGGTAAGTGAAAATTCATAATAGATTATTGGCATAATTTAATACAAGAGAAGTAACATGTGGTAATACTTCTAACATTGCCGTGCATTTACACAAGTTTATAGTAATGCTATGTAAAAATTCTTATACTCATATCACCTTAGCAATTATGAATAATCTCACTTTTATTTTTCTCCATCTCTTTGGTACCTTTATTTCTATAAGGGCATTCAAAGCATTTATTAATGCACGAAATCACTTCATCTGCATTTTTCAAATAGATGCATATACACAGTGGTGGGATTCAAATTCGTAAACAACCAATTCTCTGTGCCACTTCTGAAAGTCCATTCTGGGCCTGGGCAACAAAAAATTAGCTACTGGTTCTGCCGAAGTGGTGCGAACCAGCTGAATCCCACCACTGCATATACATGACTACTCTACAAATGCTAATTTTTTTGTATCTTCATGTTGTCTATCTTCATAGAATGGCCAATGCACATTTCCAGACTGTGGGCAGAGTTTCGCCTGCAATACTGCATTCTAACCACTGTGCCCAGGGCATGGCAAAAGATTCCATTTGGTTTCAGAAGCGCTGTTATACATAATATATCCATTGAAACATGCTTTAGATAAAATGGTGGTGTTCCTTGGAGGTGTTCCTCAGTCCAACTTTTCCAAATCTGAGAAAGTGGTTGTGGCTAGGAACTTCCTGCAAGCTTCAGCTGGTTGGTCAGTGCTAACCTGGGACCAGTTATGCAGAGCTTTGACTTTTCTAGAGCAAACTACTGAAATTCTGTGGGTCACTTCAAAAATGAATTGGAAAAGAAAACCCAAAATATGATGATCAGTCTCATATGTGGTACCCTCATGTGGTACCAAATTGTTTTAAAATCTGTCAGCTCCTTCATTAACTCACCTAGCAACTGTTTACATTTAGAAGCACTGTTCTTCACTCTGTCAATACATATGGAATTATGAGACTTTCTCAATGATCTTTTTAATCTCTGCATTTTAATCAAATGTGGATGTTTTGTGTTTATGCATGTTTAAAACCAAATTTGTATTTTCATACTGATCATTTTCATCTTATTAGATAAATGTGTTACTATGAAACTTTAAAGAGATGTTTTCAAATACCCTTTATCATTTGTCTTTATCTTATAAATCATTTAAGTACTGTATTCTCAAAACATTAGCAGCATCATAGAGAGCAATTTTGCAAGTCTGGAAAATAGGTTATATTATTGCTGGGTCATTCAGAGCTATCTAATTTCATAAGGAGCTGTGGTAGGCCAATCTTCCAGTTGAAAGGAGATACTTAGTGTGTTGTTGTTAGTTGTGAAGTTGTGTCCGATCCATCGCGATCCTATGAACAATGTTTCTCCAGGCCTTCCTGTCCTCTAGCATCTTCGGGAGTCCATGTAAGCTCACCCCTACTGCTTCAATGACTCCATCCAGCCACCTCATTCTCTGCCCCTTCTTCTTTCTAATAACAAATTTTATTGTTTTTTTAACTTTTACAACAGAATGCTCAAGACACACCGTGGTGGTTAGGTGATCAATCATCCAAAAACCAAATCATATAATAGCTCAAGTAAATACATTAAATGGTCCCTCTCTATTTCCCTCAAATAATATAACCTATTTAACATAATCCATTTCTACATTACATATCTATAAATCCTAATCCTGTTTTGAGCTTTATTAATTTACAATTACCATAGTCCAATTTAATCTTAGATAAATGTATTATCGCTTCAGGTATCCCTTCTAAAATACTAATCCAGATATATTCCAGTTCATAATCTCATAAATCATTGATTTTATCACAGAGCTCTCATATTACTTCAAATAGCATTTAAATCTCATTCAAATAATTATCATATCTAAAAAAAAACACCTATTATTACACAAAACATTCTCTTGGTAACTTAACACACTCAGTTAGTTGTTAAAGCTATCTGAATTTCTAAAAGCCTCTTTCATATTCTTATTCTCATTCCATTACAAAATAATTTTCATACAAATAAACATATTATTCGAAAAAACACATTCCTACTCTATTTAACATATATATTCTAATAATCACAAATTTTCAACTCTAAATCTTAATCCTTAAATCAATCCATATTTCTCAAAACCTTTTTAATCCATTACATATAATTTTAAATTTCTCTTTTTAGTCTTATTCTGGCTTTCTTCCTACGCCAAGCAGGCTTCCATAACAAAGCCTCTATTTCAGCAAATAAATCTCCCATTATTGCTTGTAATATCATTTGGGTCAGTAAAAGACCTCCCATCCTCTGTTTTTGACACCTGGTTCCTGTCTGCTGGATAAAACACTCGATCATGTCCAATTTTATAATTAATAGTTGATTATCAAAGTTGTCATAACTCCAACAGTTGTAATTTCAAGTCCATTTCTGTTAGTTTTGCAATTGTAGATAGTTTAGTTACAATCATTTTTTGGTCATCCAAAGTCTCCATAGGTTGTATGTAAATTAATCCCTCTTCCGTTGCTTTTTTGTCTGTAGAATGATCAAATAGAGTCTGAAGGTCAGTTTGTAAATTCACAGTAGAATTTCTGTTTATTATTTCTGCAGTTCTCTCTCTTATTTGGGAACATATTTCCTCAGTAGCTTCATAAATTTTTTCCAGTATGAGTTTACAGTTGAGTTGTGAATATGATTTCTCCATTTCAATAGTAACACAAAAAGTTAAATTTCTCCACAAGATGTCCTCAGTAAACTATGAAAGTCTCTTCCAGACATCAAGGATGAGATTAGCAGAGTCAAAGAACTATGGAATCTCTTTTCCGGCTTCTCATAGAGTTGTTGTTGTTGTTTTTCAAACAATAAAAATTTATCCCTTTGAAAAAGTAAGTCCAAGACATAGGAAAACACTATTATCCAGCTTAGGAGATATAATAATAAAATTTTATGATAGGGATTTTTCCAGGGCCCCCAAGTAACCAAAAATAAAAATAGTCAATAAGAAGTTTTTTCCTTTGTAATGGAAAGCTCTTTTCCCCAGATAAACAAAGGCAGCTCTTTCAAAGCAGGGAAGTAATTCCAAAAGGCTTTTGACAGGAAAGTAGTTAGGCAGAAAGAGAGAGGGAAAAGTCTCACCGGGATCATCCACGATGGTTTCTTAATGCTTAGATGTTCTTTTGACTTTCAGCTGGAGCAGCTAAATAATTCTCTCTGTCGGTCCTGAGGAGCTGCCTCGGACCGCGGAAGGAGTTGCCTCCTCCCCCCCAATCAACGAGAGTCCTCCTCATCGGTAGTCACCCCTCCAGGGTGACTTTTCGGCCTGACTGAGGGTCTACCGGCAGAGGAAAAGCAGGCAATGAAGAGAGAGAGCCTCTTTGTATGCCTGCACCCACTGCAACCCAAACAGGAAGTCCTCTGTCCCCTTCTTCTATTGCCCTCAATCTTTCCCAGCATTAGGCTCTTCTCCAGTGAGTCCTTCCTTCTCATTAGGTGGCCAAAGTATTTGAGTTTCAACTTCAGGATCTGGCCTTCTAAAGAGCAGTCAGGTTGATCTCCTCTAGGACTGACCGGTTTGATTGCCTTGCAGTCCAGGGGACTCGCTGGAGTCTTTTCCAGCACCATAGTTCAAAGGCCTCAATTCTTTGGCGCTCAGCCTTTCTTATGGTCCACCTTTCAATATTTAGTGTAGGAAACCTTATTAAAAATTTCAGATTCTCACTGAATTTATCCAGTGAAGAGGATAAATTATTCTCTGCTTCTTCTGCTGAGTTACTCATACCAATGGGAAGTTATTTTCCTAATATCTAGCCACATCCATAAAACCAAATTGGAGTTTGTTGGCATAAAGCTAATGAGAATTTGACTGAGAAAACACTAAGAAGAAATTAAGAATGTATTACTGATAGTCTCAGAGTCAGAGGGTTTGATATACTTTTATAAGTAGTTTTATTTTTCTTTATTTTTCTCATTGATTGTATTGTGTCTTTTCAGGGCCATGGCACATATATATAGGGATGCTTACTGGTCACAGAATGATCTACATGAAAAAATACAGGAGGCTAAGAAACAAGTGACCAAAAGCAAGTTGGAAATGTTCACCCCGAACCGTTTGAAATACTACTATCAACAGCTGAATCAAAGGAAACAGGAGGGCTACCCGACAACTTTTATAGATCTCTGGGGACTCGTCATAGAGTATTTGTTAAATGATGGGGTATAGTCTAATATATTCTTTTTTACTTCCTAAGAATTATGGATACCTGTTATACATACATATAAAGGGTATTGTTGTGATAATATACTAATTAGAACACCAATGCCCATGGTAGATCTACCACTATTTGATAAACATTAGAAGTAAATATTCTGTTACATTAATAGTAAAAACATTAATTTGGGTTGCAGGTACCCAAGGTGTTTCCCTGAAAGATGCTTTTTGAAAAGGCAGCTGGACTTTCTTGTTTTTCTTTGAAGACGTTTTGCTTCTCATCCAAGAAACTTCTTCAGTTCTGACTGTATAGTGGGGAATGGAAGGATTTATACTCCTTGCAGAGAGCTGGTCATTTGCACTCTTTTAGAGAGTCATTGAGGCCACCTGGAGGTTTGTCTGTGTCCTCGGGGTACTGAGTAGTGCAAATGGGTATGGAGCCTTCTTGAAATTGCTAAAAGGACTGTGTTGTGGAGCTTTGCTTTCTGCGGGATGTTTTTTCTGCTCTGTCTCCCTTCATTGTTGAACACAGGACACAAGCTGTTGGGGATGAATCTGTGTTGTCTGCATCTGAAACTGAAGTGCAAATGGTTCCTGTAGTCTGCAATTTTTCTGGAAATCCATTCATACTCCAGCACCATTCGAAGGATGGTCATCCAAAGTGCATAGCTAAATGTCTAGGAAGATTCTCAGTCATTCAGGCCTCCCTTCAACAGCAAAGGGAGACAGGGCAGAAAAAACATCCTGCAGAAAGCAAAGCTCCACAACACAGTCTTTTTAGCAGTTCCAAGAAGGCTCCACACCCATTTGCACTACTCAGGACTCTGAGGACACAGACAAAAAAATGCAAATGACCAGCTGTCTGCAAGGAATATAAATCCTTCCATTCCCCACCATCCAGTCAGCTGAAGAAACGTCTTGGATGAGAAGCAAAATATCTTCAAAGAAAAACAAGTCCAGTTGCCTCTTGAAAAAAAGCACCTTTGGGACAATCATGACCTGGATGATTGAGAATCTCCATAGACATTTACCCAAGGTAGTATCAAGCAATTATGTCATTCTTACTGTCCCGAGTAAAAAAAAAACCCTTTGTTCATTTCATCTTCTGTTTTACCCACTCATGTTCAGTTGTTATATTTAGGTTTATCCTATACTGGGTTGCTTTAGGCATCTTTAATATTAAGATGATTTTCCACTTGTATTTGATTGTTATGTTATGTATCTATTCCATGCCTCTTTGATATTTTTTTCTCCTTTACAATTAGAAAGATAACCACAGGCTCTCAGACCAGAAAGAAGCTTTGATAAATGGGCAAAATCCCCTGCCCATCTATGTAACTATTAACATCAAGGACAAGTACAGCACTCAAGACTTCAAAGGTGACTAATAAGACTAAAGAGAGAGAGATTGTTTTTTTATTGTAACAAAATGAATTTTGCATTTACATCTATTTGGAGTCACAGAATATGAATGACAGGATTACATCCCCTGGTTATTAACATAGATGGCAGTCTCTAACCAACCTTGGATGATCTCCAAGTAGCTAAGCAAAATCAAACCTGGTTAATATTTAAATGGGTAGGGGGCATCGGGAGATCCCAGAATTGTAGACTAGGCGACAAAATAAAAGAAATCCCAGGAGGAGACAATGGCAACCAGTTTTATTGCCAATGAAGTTTTACCCATATCCCATGGGTAGGAGGAGGCCAGCTTGAGTTTTAAAAAAAATTATATGAGGGTAGAGTATATTTCTTAAAATCCATATCCTATGGAAATCTAGCATCATCACATCTGGCTGCCAATATTAATATCCATCCATCCAAAAATAAAATATTCAAATTTTAAGTAAAAATCCCAAAATATTTAAATCTGCTTGTTACTTGACCTACATACTATTTATATTCATTTTATATATAGATATAGAATGAGATTGATTTTGCTTTATGAAATATAGATCAGCCTATCTCCCATATATATTTATAACGAAGCTCATTTGATAGGATGAACTGAGGTTTTCGTTTAAGGCAAGTGAACTAAAAATAAAGGCTGGAAATCAAACTTCTGCACAATTAGTTCCAAGTATTTGAAAATGTGTTCTACTGAGCTGCAGTTTCATTTTACTGATATATATTTAGAAGTTATATTCAACTGGTGGGCTTGTTTATTTTTTTTTTCTATTTTTTTTTAAACTTTGAAGTCAGACTTGACCTTTAGTGACTGCCTGAGCAAGTCCCTGCAATTTTCTGAAATATTTTCAGATACAGTTTGTCATTTGGAGCATAATCCCGACTCTCTCTCATCAACCGGGTTCCAGTAGGTCGACCGAAACACGGATTCCTCCCTGATCTGGAGTGACAGAAGACCATAGTTCGGAATTGGTAATTCGGAAGACAAAAAACGTTTTGTCAAATGAGAATTCATTAACTCATATGTCAAAGTCAATAGAGGTCGACGTTAGGAGACACTGTTTCGCTTAAAGCAGCAAAGATTTTCAAATATTATTTGGTATATTTGCATTTCAGAAAGATATGGTTCCACTGATTAAAAAGGAAGCAAACAAACAAACAAAAATCTCATGAGCATATTTTAGCCTTGGCTTTCCTAAGCAAATAAATATACTTCATATTCTCATAAACAGTAAGCATCTTCGTTTAACTGTTTGTCTGTACATGCATGTAGGAAAAAAGAAAAAACCCTTTCATTGGAAATCTGGGTTTAAAAAATGTTCAACAAGAAATACTCTTTTGTTACTGAGAACCAGGAATAAATTTAAAACCCAAGGTGGTTTACTTTTCATTATGTTGTTTGTAAGCATTATATTCCACAGATGTTTAATTTTTCTTTTAATTTGTTCAGTTTATAAACTGATTTTATGATCCAAATGACTATAGATAACAAACAATTTATCAAAGCAATACACTTAAATGTATTTAAAATTTAAAGCTATCCCCCACCCCCACCTGGGCTCCTCTGACCATCTTTCAGCGCTGCTTATTCCAGCATATAAACCTTTACTAGTCAGAGTAAAGCAGGGGAGGGTTTGGACAGAGGGAGCTATAGAAGCATTACAAGACTGCTTTGAATGCACAGATTGGGGCATGTTTAAGGAAGCAGCTACTGATAACCAACTTACAAATGTTGAGGAGTATGCCACCACAGTGTCTGCATATATCCAAAAGTGCATAGAAGATGTCTGTGTCCTGAAAAGCATTGTTGTGAGGGCGAATGAAAAACCATGGCTGACTTATGAGGTCCGCAAGATGCTGAAAGCACGGAATGTGGCTTTTAAATCTGGTGACATGATGGCACTTAGAACAGCCAGAGCAAATCTGAAAAGTGCCATAAAAGNAATACATTTTTGGGTAGATTTGAGGCATCAAATAATACTCCTGCTAGGAAAGCTGTGCCCCATCCTGACGAGCAAGTGCTAAGTTTCTATGTCACCTCTGTCTGGAAAACACTGCAGAAAGTTAACATTCGGAAAGCAGCAGGCTCAGATAACATCCCTGGATGTGTCCTCAAGGAATGCACAGAGGAGCTGGCTTGTGTTCTCACACATATTTTCAATCTCTCATTGTAGCAGGCAGTGGTCCCATCATGTTTTAAGACAGCCATCATCTTGCCAGTGCCAAAAAAGTCCACAATTACAGGCCTCAATGATTACCATCCGGTTGCACTGACATCCACCATTATGAAATGCTTTGAGAAGCTGATAAAGGACATTAATGTATCTAGCCTCCCACTAGCATTTGACCCGCTTCAGTTTGCCTACCGACCAAATCGCTCTATGGAGGATGCTATTTCTTCCATTCTCCATCTGAGCTTGAAGCACTTAGAGGAAAGAAATGCTCATGTGCGTTTGTTGTTTGTTGACTTCAGTTCAGCGTTTAACACAATCATTCCCCAGCATCTAGTAGACAAACTGGGCCTCTTAGGCTTAAACACTCCTTTGGCAACTGGATTCTTGATTTTCTTACCAACAGGCCCCAATATGTGTGAGTTGGAACAAATACTTCTAATACCATTTCCTTGAGCACAGATTCTCCTCAGGGCTGTGTCTTAAGTCCGCTGCTGTTCACCCTGTTGACCCATGACTGTTGTGCTAGGTTTGCCACCAACTATATTGTGAAGTTCGCAGATGATACAACAGTAGTGGGCCTTATTCATGATGACAAGATGGAAGCTTACTGCAAGGAGGTTGAGGGTTTGGTGAACTGGTGTAAGGAAAACAGCCCAGTTTTAAATACTGGAAAAACCAAAGAGATCATTGTTGATTACAGAAAAGGCAGGCACAGCCACACATCTTTGTGCATAAATGATTCACCTGTGGAGATGGTTACCAGCATTAAATTCCTGGGTGTGCAGCTAACGAGTAGGCTGGCTTGGTCGCTCAACAGTGAGAAACTGGTAAAGCGGGCACAGCAGCGCCTGCATTTTCTGCATCGCATGAAAAAAGCACATCTTCCTTCCCCTGTCCTGACCACTTTCTACAGGGGGACGATCGAGAGCATCCTGTCACACAGCATCACAGTCTGGTTTGGAAGCATCACTGCTTCAGACAGGAAGGCGGTGCAGAGAGTGGTGAGAATGGCCGAAAAGATCACTGGCAGTCCCCTCCCTCCCATCCAGGACATAGCACAGAAGTGCTGTTTGAGGAGGGTCTGTGAGATTATCTGGGACACTACACATCCTCTCCACAACCTGTTTTCCTTGTTACCTTCTGGAAGGAGACTTCGTGGTATCTGCAGCAAAACATCCAGATTCAGCCATAGTTTCATTCCATATAGCATTAACCTTGTGAACCTTCTCAAGCTTCCTCCTTCCATTATATATTCAAGATGGACAGTATTTAACATTTATTTGTTATGTATATGTAGGGGTGTGGGTCTATACATATGTTGTATATAGTATGTTTTTAGGGTGTGTCATGTATGTGTTTCACTTTGAGAGCGGGCAACTAAATTTCATTTTTGATGTGTGCCGTTGTGCCCACAGTAAAAAAAATGACAATAAAGGTTATCTATCTATCTATCTATCTATCTATCTATCTATCTATCTATCTATCTATCTATCTATCTATCTATCTATCTATCTATCTATCTATCTATCTATCTATTTCAATGTAAACTTAAATACATTTTAATTTAAACTTTGCTTCCACAATTCAAGGCAGCTGATCTTCTCTCTAATTATGTCTGTAATAATTCTGTAAAGTAGATTGGCTGACTACCAGTCTATGGTTGGGACAGGATGGTTAGAAGGATGACAGGTCCAAATTAAGCAAGCAAGCCTCAATTGTTTAGCGCAATATTTAACCAAAGCATCCAATTTATGTTTTAATGTCTAACTCCAGTAACATTGTTTTCTGTATATATACTGTATATAGTTCTGCAATTTCCCGCAGGACTTCCCGCAGGACTTGAAAGAGTATCGTTTATCCTCTCTTACAACTCTTAGGATGCAGTCAATGCAACAAGATGATTCAGGATGGTGATTATCCATTAGAAGGATAATTTTAGGTTTCTCTTCCCAAATGTTGTTCCTCTTTGCATGATGGAAATTAATTTTGCTTTGCAGATTTGTTTATACTTGCTTACAAGTAGGAGTACTTAGGTATTATTTTTTCCTTATTCTTTTACAGAATGGCTAGAATTTACACCCTATGAGGTGGGATTTCTGAAGTATGGAGCGTTTGTGCATCCTGAGGACTTTGGAAGTGAATTTTTCATGGGGCACTTGATAAAGAAGCTTCCAGAAACCCGGATGTGCTATCTTCATGGTGATGTGATCAAATATCCAATAGAATGTCAAAGTATTATTATTTAGCACAGTGCTTTTTTTGTAAAAAAAAAGATGGCAGAACTCACACATGTCATACAAACTTGCCTTGCCTACCTTACAAGGTTCCATCCAAAAAAGGTGCCGGAACTCCGTTCTGGGCATTCTATGACAAAAAAAGCCCTGATTTAGCACTCATGGGAGGGTTTTTAATCTGATTCTTGAGCTAAGGGACAGTCAACATCAAGTCCTCCAGAAGTAGTAGAACTCCAAACTCCATTAGCCCTAGCAATAGGATCAGTGTCAAGAGATGAGGAGAGTTGGAGGATCATACATTGCCACTCTTGATAATTAACAAGAATCTATCAGTCTTTTTGTTTAGACCTTGGACAAAGCTAATTAATTATCAGAGTCGCCTTGAATCTTGAGATGGATGGCAAATAAATTTGAGAGGGGGGAGGAGAGAGAGATATACTCGGGAATTATTGACTTCTGGCTTTATTCTGAAGCCAGATTCAACCAAATAACATACGCTTCCAAAAGAAGATACAGGTTGAGAACATAGATACCCCTAGGTAACCATGATAATGAAAAACCGATGACATTTATTTATTTGTGATAATATGAGTATGAGTGTCCCAGCTTTTTGCATGTGAATATATACCCAAACCTAGCACATAAAACATTCATGAGTAGGAGTGTTCTTCTACTTCCATTCAGAACACACCAGATATTTGCAGTAGCCTCCAGCTCAACAACGTCTTTCTGTTTATATCTCTTTAAATGCCCATTGTTCACATAGGCATTCCAGAGATTTAGACAAGGTCTCTGTTATGGAGAAATCAGGAATGAGGAACTAAGACCTAGATTCAAGTCCAGTCTTAGTCATGAAAGACTGCTTAGTGACTTTAGGCTCATCACTGTCTCCAGGGCTGTTGTTATGAGTGAAGAATGGAGAGATGGCTATACATAATGCTTTGAGTTCCTAGAGGAAAAGAAACAAAACTAAAACTAACACATCAAGGGAGATCAACTGGGTCAGATGAATGGCAGGACTATTCTCAACTGAGTTGTTTTTAGGTTGCCAGTAAAGGTATCATTCTCTTCCCCCACAGGTATGTGGAGTAGTATATTTTCACTCAACTTGTTGTATATCTGGCATAGAGTTAACAGTTCAGAAGAATTCTGGCATCAGTGGACTCAAGACAAATTTATAAATATTGGTGAGTATCTTTCTTGCTTCTGCTTTGTGTGTGTTTCCACTGTTAAACCAATATGGATAGGGACAGTTTGGGGGAAAAAATTGACAAGATCTTATAGCTGAGTTCACACACTTCATGTGAGGCTTGTTTGGTTTGGGCTCTGCAGGCTAAGCCATTGTGATTTGTAAAATATGGTTTAATGTGTTGCAGGAAGGAACTGCAGCAGCCAACTGTGGTTTTATTCAGTAAATCATGGCTACACAAACCACGGCTTAGCAGCATGTGTGAACCTACTCTATATTCAGCCCATGAATGGCTTGTTTTGAGGATATTTTCCTTTAAATGATTCCAATACCCACAAGCCTACTTTAGCAAAAGACACTGTGGTACTGTAGTCTTAAAGGAGATATGAACCTCACGAGAAATATAACTCCAATATCAGGACAGCCTTACTGCTATTAGTCTTTAGATAGGAATGTAAAATGTAAAGTTAGAGTTGGATCAGAAATGATGGCTGCATGCTTGCTAATGAATCCCAGGATCAGTTGCGTGCTCAGAAGGGATGAAACTGGACAAGATGATGGACATGTGCATACAATGCCAATGGATGTAAAGAGGGCTAGAGCATGGGTCATAACATTGCACTTGCCTTCTAATGCATTTTGAGCCCTCACCACAGATGTCACTAATGAAGGTGAATATACATGTCCCAGGATAAGGTTGCAGGATTGAATCTCTTTTCATTTCTCAATTAGTCTTCAACACTTTTGAAAACATAGTACATGTTTGAATTATGAAAAAAAATACCTTTCTTATCCTTTGTGCCTTGTTGCAGATGAAGACCCACATTTACCTACAAAGCCCTATGAGCTAAAAAGCCGCATGTTTGTCCCACCTGGAGATCTAGCCACGAAACTTCGCGGGGCGTTGACAGATCGCCTGGCAGTTGCGCAGTATCACAATTTTCTGAAGGGTTTTCAGATGCACGACTGTTACATTGAGAATACGCATTTTCATAGATGGAAAGGTGAACAGCATATGCGATTTCTAACTATCATTAACATGGCATTAGGATTAGACTTTTTAAAATGTATTTCTAAATGAGTGCATTTGGGATTAAAATCTTAGGCTGGAGGTATACAATGTTCAGTTTAGGTCTGAACTTGGGTTCAAAATGCATGCCAAGGCCAATCCCTTCCCAAATTAAAAACAGTTAATATCATTGTTCTCCATATATTGTATATTATCTCTCTTCCACTTCATTAAGCAAAGTAGCTAATGAGTAGCAAATTTTAGAAGGACTTTGGGGACTGCACCAAAAACGTTGTGGGAATATGTAATAATGTCACAATGTTATATATTGTTTATATATGCTACTTTAGGCTATGATCCAGAAGTGGAGGCCCAGAGTTGCCTCGTAGTAAAATGGGCAGCAAACTTAATAAATAATAATAAGGTTTAAAAATTTGTTTCCCCTGTTCACTCATGATTGACTCAAGGGGGCAGTGTTCATCTCAGATTCTTAGGATAGGGAGCATTGTTTGAGAGACGCTTGTGTCATCTTATGGCCAGCATGAAAGTACGGAACGCAATAACCTTTCTTGCCAAAGTGGTACCTATTTATCTACTTACATTTGCATGTTTTCAAACTGCTAGGTTGACCAGAGCTGGGGCAAGCAATGGGCCCTCACCCAGTTGCACCGTGCTTGGGTCTTTCATGTGGGCTGTCAGCTTTCTAGCTGACAAGCCCAGCATCTTAACCATCAGATAAAGATTTCAAAAAAGGATATAGCAAAGAGAAACAAGTTTAATTACCATACAAACACACATTCAGAACCTTAATAATTCTTGTTTTTATAGAAGCATTGGACCTCCAATAAATAAGTACATTTTACAAGCAGTACTAATTCCCTGATTTTTCTTATACCTACTAATACATGCTTCAATTGCCATTTACTGCTATGCAATACGTATTTTACCCAATGTTAGTCAAGTTAATATAAACAAGGAACTTACACACTCTATCATTTCTTCTGCATAGCACACTAGAATAATTTCTGGCTTTGCTTATGACTCATGGTCTGTGATAGTTGAATTTTAAATTTAAAGTTCAGAATTAAATAGAAATACTTAAGTGCACTTTGTAGGGAGGAGCATATTCAACACACAGCAAACCATAAGTTATAATTGATGCAGCCAAAAGGATGATTAAAACTCATCAAAGAACTTTGAATTTAATGCAATTAAATAGTAGAAAAATAACATTATTTCCAGATGACAAAGATATGTGTTTCCTTTCTAGCTACTACATTGGATTCTTCCCCCAATCAGCTAACAGAATATGACGACCACCTGGGCCTGGTGGATGCTGGATTTTTCATCAATACAAGTTGTCCACCACTGTTAAGGCTAGAGAGGAAAGTGGACGTCATTCTGCATTTGAGTTATAGTGCAGGTTCACAAACATTGGTAATAGATTTTATTTTATTGCTTGCTTGCTTATGTCTGATATCTATGGTAGAAGCTATACAATGCATTGAATAGGTATAACAATCTCAGTGGAATTTGCCCGCAGAATTTTTTTTAAAATAGTAAAAGAAAAGATTGAGGACATACATGAAAACATATATTTATGCAATTGTCTACTTGAGTGTTCTGAAAGAATTACCATAAAGCTCAATGAGTCTGACTTCCAAATGAGAGTAGGATTACTCTTTTAAAAGATAAAAACTGGATAAAAAATGTTAGCACTTTCAGTAAGGGGTATCTATCAGGGGAGGGAAGTGGCCACAATGATAGCCCTGCTCCTTTTTACATATATTACATGTGCGAGACATATAAACAAGGAAAAAGGCGATGGGCTTTGATTGCACAGTCACAGCTGTCAACTTGGACATTCCTGCTTGTGAGTTCATTGAAGCCTGGCACTCCACAAGCAATTTCATCAACAGATACATTGACTTACAACCAGCCTACAAACCTCTCAGAATCCAAATCAACCACACAGCCAATCAGAGACAGCACCAACCCTCAACCAACCCATGCAAGATCCCTCCTCCCCCCACCAGCAGTTTATCTTCCAATGATTCTGACCTGATGTAAACTCCCCATCACAAGACTCATCACAAGCCTCTCCCTGATGACTCATACCTGGCCCATCACAAGGCCCTCACTTGACACACGCACACAGTGCTTTTTTGCTAAAAAAAAAAAAAAGGTGCTGGAATTCACACACGTCATACAACCTGCCTTGCCTACCCTACAAGGTTCCATCCAAAAAAGGTGCCGGAACTCCGTTCTGGGTGTTCTATGAGAAAAAAAGGCCTGCACCCACAGCTTATAAACAGAAGAACATTGACACTGACATCCCCTAAACTCTGCTGAAGATGTTACCTAGCCTGGTAACAAAATGTTCAGAAACCAACCCACAAATTCGGAGAATGAACCTTCACCCTCACTCTTTTGCTGTTTAATTCAAAAAGTAGCACCTTTCTAAAATGTTTAAAATCATATTTAAAAAGCAACAAAAATAAAAGCAAGTCCAAAGTGTTTAAGAAGTGAAGCTTGGTTGAGCTTTATGTACTTAAAAGTGGCTAAGCCTAAGGTCATTATTATGAGCAGGGAACAATGCTTCCAAAGCTCTCAGATGCTCTGCTCATAAGGTGGCCACAAAACCTCAAGTCCTGTGATCCATTTACAAGAAACACCTGTGCAGAGTACACAAGGGCAATCTCGAAGATTTCTCCTTAATCCGGAAATAATGTTGGAGATCTGGATCTTGCAGCCAGCTGTTTATTACAAAGTAACACTGCAAAAAGTATCTAATTTGCCATGTCTCTCAGGCTGAAATGTTTTAATATATTTTTGATTATTATATACACCATCCAGAGTATCTAGGTGAGATCAGTAGTTACACAAGTGTGATTAAATAAATAATGACATAATATATTTTGTGTAACATATTTCAGACATGTTAGACAACTGCCTGAGGTGGTTCAGTTCCTAAAGCCCTGATCTCAGTATAGTAGGAAGAAATTAGTTTATGTGTTTAAAACCTCTAAATCAGGATCACAAACATAGTGTTAGAAAATAAGTCCATGATTGAAGACAGGCTATTTCATAGCAATGTAGACTAGACTAGATTAGACTAGACTAGACTAGACTAGACTAGACTAGACTAGACTAGACTAGAATAGAATAGAATAGAATAGAATAGAATAGAATAGAATAGAATAGAATTCTTTATTGGTCAAGTGTGACACAAGGAATTTGTCTCCGGTGCATAAGCTCACAGTATAGATATAAATAGCAAGTAATAGGTCATAGGTCATAATCATAGTTACAATTGTTAATTATAAATTACAAACAATTGATAAATCATAAGAAATCATTTGTCACTCAAATGTAAGATAATGCAGTCTATGTAAAACATTGTCCTAAATTCAGATATTGCTAGTCTTTATGATTGCATTATATCACTACATGGAAACTAATCAAGGAGAGAAACAACCTAGAACTAAGGAGAAACTTCCTGACAGAACAATTAACTAGTGGAACAACCTGCTTCCAGAAGCAGTGAATGCTCCAACACTGGAAGTTTTTAAGAAGAGACTGGACAGCCATTTGTCCAAAATGGTATAGGGTTTCCTGCCTGAGCAGGGGGTTGGACTAGATGAATAATAATAATAATAATAATAATAATAATAATAATAATAATAATAATAATAATAATAATAATAATAATAATAATAATAATAACAACAACAACAACAACAACAACATTATAAGAAGCAAAGATTTCACCATGAGCTTATTCCATTGAATAGTTTCACAGTTTAATTTCTAATTCTAATTTTTGGGTTTGTAAACCCAAACTTTTCTGTTGAACTGGTACTATATAATTGGTATTTTATTGTAGTGTAGTAAGAACAATTGGGATTCACAATTACTTACTCTCATTTCTCATAAAATCTCTTTCTTTGATTTTTCTATGAGCATAGCCTCTAGAAGATGCTTGCAAGTACTACACAGAACAAGGGATTCCATTTCCAAATGTTGCCTTAACAGATGAAGATAGGAAACACCTGAAAGAGTGCTACTACTTCAATCAGTCAGAGATATCCGATTGCCCCATCTTAGTTTTCTTTCCATTAGTGAATGATACTTTCCAATATTATAGTGCACCTGGTAAGTTATTGATGGTAATCAGGCAACTGGTTATAGTTTATTTGGAGGTTACAGCTTTGCTTTTGCTGGAAAAAGTATTATGTGCTTAGATTTTGCTTATGCAAAATCACACATAATACTTGATTAGGGAATGCTGATGTTTGCAAAGATCCATTAGGGCTAACAGCTTGCTTTGACTCCCTATGTTTACTTCTTTTGAATTGTGAAAATAAAAAGTAAACATACCATAATTAACAACAATTTACAGTATGCTTGAAAGATAGTGGAACAAAAGATGAATATAGTTTCTTTGTGTTACTGTGAATTAGGCAACTACGTTTGTAAATCAGTTCTCTTTTCTTACTAAAGATAATATATCAGAATACATTATAGAATAGGGATGGTCATCTCCTGTCCTATGGTCTCTCCAAGACCCCATTTGCAGTGTTCTGGCATCTCCAAAAGTTGACTTGGTGTTTTGAAAATTCATTAAAATTTTTAATTTAGGAGACAAGCCATTCCAATTGTCACCATTCCCCCTCCACCCCAGACACAGAAACTACACTGCTGCAATTCAACTATTTTGCCACAAAATGTTGATAATAAGTGGAAAGTTTGCCTTTCAGAGATTCAGTTTCCCATGTTCACTCCCCTACCTAAAAGGATCAGCCTGTAGAGCAGCGGTTCTCAACCTATGGGTCGCGATCCCATTTGGGGTCGATCGACCATTTCACGGGGGTCGCCAAGCAAGGCTGTCCGCCATTTTTTCCCCCTTTTCCGGCGGGTGCCTTACCTCCCTTGAGCTTGAGCTGGGCCAGCTGGTGGTTGGCCTGCTCCGTCTCTGCCGCTTGCCAGCTACGCCTCGGCCGGCGCATGGGGCGGAACCACGCATGCGCGGTGCTCCCGGGCAGGGAAAGTCCTCGACTTACGACCGGTTGGGTAGTCCTCAACTTACGACCGGTTTAGTCCTCGACTTACGACCAGTTGGGGATCGCAGCATTAAAAAGGTTGAGAACCACTGCTGTAGAGAGCCATGGTGATGGCCTTGAAGGGAGTATTCAGAAACCATTACAGAAACAACAAAGCCAGAACACTCCTTTAGCTTTAGGAAAGGAAATAGTGTTAGGAACAGTCTTAGGCTAGCTCCTCTTTGACTCGGTGGGGTAGAAGATGTAAGAAAGGTAAAACACAACTGATTTGCAAAAGTCTATCTCAATAAAGCCTATCTCAATAAAGTATCATTGTAACTTTCCCCTGGAGTAAGTTTCCTAGTTTAGTCTACTTCAGGGGTCTTCAAACTTGGCCCTTTTATGACTTGTGGACTTCAACTACCAGAATTCCTCAGCCAGGCACGCTGATACAGCTCTACCCTTTCTTTTAACTCATCATCATCATCATCATCATCATCATCATCATCATCATCATCATCATCATCAATTACCTTTCAGATAGTCAGGAAGAAAGCTGAAATTCCTGACCCTGTGAAACTTATCCTTGATAAGATTTAAGGGTATAGTGAAGTAAGGGAGAGGGACACATTTTCTGATGCTCTTATTCTCATATATTCTCATAAACTTTGACTGATACCTACCAATCTCTCTCTCTTTACCTTTCTGGCACTGAGGTTCTAAGCGCATGGACCAGTCAAACTCAGAAGCCAATGGCAGTGATAAAGGGAGGAGTGCATTGTTGAATTTTCTTGTCTGAACTTGCAGCCCTCTCTTTGACCTTGGAAGGAGAAATCTGAAGAGGCTGTATTCCCCTGAAATGCTGTACCAGAGGCTATATGACTGCAGCCTTTATTTGGCCAAAATAAGATTGTGCCAACGGGTACAGGATCAAATGAGCTCATTTATATTAAGCTAGATTAGATTTAAAGAATAAAGTCCACATGCTAAAAACTTTTCATTAAATGTATTTTTCCTCCTGAAATAAGCCAATGATAAAATAACCTTCAATTTTTTGTTATTCATTCTAGGTGAGAAGCGCTCCGAAGCCAATATGGCTGGAGGCAACATTGACGTTTCTAGTTGCAAAACCCCATATTCCACTTACTGCCTGAAATATTCAGATGAGGATTTTGACAAGCTTGTGAACCTAAGCGAATACAACATCCTGAATAACCAGCACCTGATTTTTCAGGCTTTGCATGCAGCAATTGAACGGAAAAAGCAGCACTGCTGCAAGAATTAAACTCCTTTCTATGCGTCATCATAAATGGATTGTAGTTGTCTTTTTTTCCCTTCTCAAATTAATTACTTTCTACATTAGCAAAGCATTATTATACTTTAAAGGCAAACAAGTTGTCAAAGAATGACACAGCATCACCCCAGCCCTGTAGGCATTTCTGTCAATGTGTCAGTATCTTTAGATATTCAACTATAATTATGTTCAAAAGTGCTAAATGCATTGTAGATTTTATCCTGGCATCCACCCATCGCACCATCTGAAATTTTAACATGTAAGTCTGAAAAAATGGACTAATACTGTTATTTGCATCAAGAATAACAGTGGAATGGGCGGTCAGGAGACATTCTGCTGCTCTTTGCACATGCAGAATGGAAAATGTTGTGAACCTTGTTACAGAGCAGTCGTAAGGCTTCCTCTGCATTTTTCCCCCATTAAAAAGTAGAGGATTTCCCCCCTTTTTTTAGCAATATGAGACCCTGGTAATCAAACTGGGAAGCTTGCATTTATTGGATAAAGCTTTCAATTATGGTACAGTCTTTCCGTGAAAAGGAAAAAAAAGTTTAAGGCTAGCAGTGCTACTCCAGCATTGAGAATATAGTTTGCCTTTCTTGCAAAATAAAATCACCTGTTGCTCCTTGTCCTGGCTTCCAACAGTTCTCCTTTCATTCTGGCTTGATAAAGCAGGGGTCTTCAAACTTGGTCCTTTTATGACTTGTGGACTTCAACTCCCAGAATTCCTCAGCCAGGCACGCTGTACAAGTCTTGGCTTAGCAGCATTTTAAAGGAGCAAAGCTTGACACTGTCCTTTATTCCCACCAACATTTTTTTTTACTTTGGAGAAAAAGATGAGAATGAAGGTGATGGAACCTGCAGAGACAGGGCAAGTCAGTCACTTATTTAAACAGGCCTAGCTCTGCAATAAGCAGGCCTATCTATGTATCACCCATGTATGTATGTATATATGTGGTTGCTAGGAGCTGAAAATGACTTGATGGCACACACAGGTAATCCGCAACTTACCCAATTACCACAATTGGGACCAGAATTTCCATTGCTAAGCAAGGGGTTGTCTGTCATGCCCAATTCTGCTACCTTTTTTGCCTCAGTTGTTAAGCAAATCACTATAGTTCAGTGAATCATGTGGCCATTAAGTGAATCTGGTTCAGGATTCTTTTTTTCCCCCTACCATATTAAGTGGGCTGATAGATACACTTAGTCTGGCTCTTCTGCTAGGACCTGTCTGACGTGGGTGATGCTTGCTGCAAGCATAGTTTTCCACCTCATCAGGGCATCACAAGCCCCTCACCCAAGACAACAGGATATCTATGGAGAGTATTTGTCAGGTCCACTATTCATATGCTGGTGCCCAGCCATCGCGCTGAAGGAGGAGGGTGTCCTGTCATCTCGCTGAGGGGGGGAGGGAGGATGGCATGCTTGGGATTTTTTTCTTCTGCTGTTCCATTAGGAATTATGGAGGGGGACTGTCTTTGGAGATGGGACAAACTCCTTCCCAGCTGGTTTTTGCCAGGTTCCAAGGCCATTGCACCCTGAGTGTGATCTGTTATCTGCCTACCACCTCAGAGTTCTCAAAACATCTTCTTTTGCATTGCATTGGCTGCCAGTGGATTGGTCAGGGGGTTTGGGATTGGGAAACTGAAAGAATTTGCGCAGGATCTTCAGATTCCTCCTGATTTTACTGCATCCAGTTTCTCTCAGTAAAAGTTCTTATGATTCAACTTGATGGATTTAAGAGTCTTACTTTCCTGAGGGAGGGGGGGGGCGACTGGGGCAGGTCTGACAGTATTTATTATTATGGTTGGGGCACAGACAGCCAGATGTTTAGACTGGGTTTGCCATTTTTGTCCACCTATCAAGTTCTTCCCAAGGGCCTTTTTGTTATTATGATGATTGTTGTTAATATTGTGGAAGGTATTGGCATGATTTTGCAACTCTAACAATGATGCTACAATGAACCAAATCACATGTTAGCATTCCTTGATATCTGTGAACAAGTGGGCAATGGACTCAGGTGCTACAGATGGGCAACTAGGACCTAGCCCTGTAGGATTAGTGGAAGAACAACAACCAGATAAGACAAACATATACTGTGTTTGAAAATTACACCATTTTGGGCTGCTATTACAAACCAGAACCAGCAAATGGAGGTACTTAAAGTGAATGTTTGAACTTTGGAAAATAATTTATCCAGATTCAAATATTACTGAACAACAATTAGCAGACCTGAGGAGATTTGTTACCATATAAATAAAATAGTCAGGAATGCAGAACTGGAAGAGATTAAGAAAAACTGTGAAAATGGAATACCCCAAAATAATAGTAGAATAATAGAAGAAACTCAGATAGTAACAGTTGCAAATATAAAGGGAAAAAACTGACATTAACTAGAGAAATGATAATTTGAAGAAGTAATAATAGAGCCAGTATAGATTAGCACTGAAATAACCTATGAAGTGACTTCTATACCCCATCCAACAAGAAGAATTAGAAGATTATGGCATACATAGAATTATGACAAAGTGATAAGCCATAAATGATAAATTATGATTAATGATAAGACAAAGACTGACAGCCAGTGGTGGGTTTCAGCCAGTTTGCACCACTTCGGTAGAACCGGTAGCTAATTTTTTGTTGCCCGGGCTAGAATCGACTTCCGGAAGCAGCATCCACACAGAGAACCAGTTGTTCACATATTTGAATCCCACCACTGCTGCCAGCATTGAAAGTAGTGCCCCAAAAGACAAGATAAGGAAAAAACAGAAGCAAGTAATTTAAAGATCATGAAAGAGAAAAAATGGGAGACTTAAGGATCAAGACAATCTTCATAAATAATATTGGCTTTGCACCAGAAAAAATGAAGAAACTTTAGAAACATAAGGCAACAAATAATAGCAAGAGTGAGGAAAATTTAATGGAATGAGGCATAAATCATCCAGTTTAAGCAAAACCAGCTATTAGAACCAGCGCCAATTCCAAATTTAGACAGTATACTTATACTCAAGTATAAATGGCATTAGAAATTCTGAAAATGGAAAACAAATGAAAAGAAAACAATCCAGTTTTGGAAAGATCTATGCGAAATTCAAAAAGACTATAATAAAAATGCTATATGGATAAAGTAATTTGAAGATGAATTTAGTAAAAATCAAATGAATAAAATAATAATGTAACAATAATGATTAAAAATCATGTGAAAAGGATTAAAAATTGGACATCTCCTGGAAATCAACAATTGCATGACTTTTGGTTCAAATATCTGATAGCTTACATACAATTATAGATAAATAGCTTAATGAAATATTGCATAAAGAAGACTTCAATGGCTGGTTAACAACTGGCAAAACTTATCTGATTCAAAAAGATCCAGCAAAAAGACCAGGAAACTATATGCCAATAGCATGTTTGCCTAGAATATTTGAATTACTCAAAGGCATAATAACAGACAACATCCAAAATTATTTAGAAGAAAATAACATCCAGTAGAATGGAAAGGAAATAAAAAGAAAAGCAACGGTACAAAAATTAACTTTTGATTGATAAAATAGTTCTGGAGAATTACAAAAGCTGAAAAACCAATTTACATATTGTTTGGATTGATTATAAAAAGGGTTTTGATTCATTACCACATAGCTGGATCATCAAGCATTTGGAAACAACTGGTGTCAGTAAAAACATTAGAATAGAAAAAATATAGAAAAAATAATAGAACAGTAGAAGACATGATTAGTGTTTGGAAATAATTATCCTTGTTATTTGTCATTACTATCATTCTGTTTTGGTGGTCCTGAAGAAAACAAATTTTGGCTAACAAACAACAAAAAATACTACCGAATAACTTTATATGGATGATTTTGAAGCTTTATGGAAAATCAGGAATCAAAATTTAGTTATTGATAAATATCATAAGAATTTTTAGCCCAGATATAAAAGACAAAATTAAATGATGGAAACACCATCAAAGCCATCAATACCTGGGCTATACCTGCTTTAGTTATGTGCCCCTCTTTCTACTTTTTATACTTGTCCTTTTTGTCTTTCAATTTATCAGAGAGTTCATGCTGGTTTCTTCTTCATTGGTATTGTGCTAAGCTGGGCTTTTATAATCTCACTTTTCAAAATTTCCCAAGCTTCTTGAGTTGTTTTCCCCTTGAGGATTCTCATCCAACTGAATCCTTCCCAAGCTCTTGCTAAGTTTGTTCAAATTAGCTCTTTATAAGTCCAAGATTCTAGTTTGACTGTATTCTATTGTTTGTGCTTGCATAATGTTGAATTCCAATATTGCATGGTCACACACACCCCCAAGGTTCCTGTGGTTTCAACATTTTCTATCATTTCATCTCTGTTAGTAAGAATTAAGTCTGATATGGCTGATCCCCTAGTTCCCTTCTCTATTTTTTGGGAGACAAAGTTGTTTGCTAGGTTTGTCAGGAATCTGTTTGATCTTCCCCTTGGTGCAGAGTTTGTCTCCCAGTTGATGTCAGGGTAATTAAAGTCCCCCATTACTATTGTGATGTGCTTCCTACATACCTTCATTAACTGAGTAGCAAAAAATTCATCTATTACTTCTGTTTGGCTGGGTGGCCTATAGTATACACCTATGGCAATGTCATTTTTTCTCCTTTTTATATTGACCTGTGTCATCATATACTGCTGGAATTATTACATGGACATAATCTTAACTGGATAAACAAGAAAGTTAATACTCACTATGCATTACATCCCCACAGGAATATTAATAGATTATACCTGGAGGCAGAAGTTTACTTCAGGTCAAACAAACTGTCAAAGAAGAATAGCATACATTGGCATACATAAAAGATAGCTAAGAAAACAAGCATTGATGCCAGTTAAAAATTGGAACTTACTGTACTTGCAGGAAACAGCACATTGAAATAATGTAATAAAAAAACAGAATGCTGGCACAGAAAAGCATGGTAAATTTCTTCAAGGATCAAGGAGAAAGCGGATAAAGATAACATCTGATAATGGCATACAGCTGGAATATTTAAAAAAAAGAAAAAAGAAAAGAAAGTGAAGGCTTGATTTTGGATGTACAAGAACAAGCTATTTGAACTAATGTGATTAAGGCCAAAATTGAAAAGTCATTAAACAGTAGATTGTGCAAAGAAACAGAAGAAATGGTAGATCAAATACTCAGGTCATGCAAGAAAATTACCCAAATTGATTATAAAAAAACATAACACAATTGCCAAAACAATTCACTGGAATACCTGTAGAAATTTACATGTACTGGTAATGAATAATTAGTGGGAATATATAATTGAAGAAGTCATAAAAATTAGCAGGTTAAAATATTGTGGAATTTCCAAATACAGTCTGGTAGAGTCTTGGCTTGTATTACACCAGACACAACTGTGCTTAAAAAGAAACTGTGAATAATTGATGTGGGCAATATCAGGAGACAGTAGAATAGAAGACAAAGAATTGGAGAAGATCAAAAAAGTATCCAGATCTGAAAACTTGAAGTTGAAAATTCTGGCATAAATCAGTTGTGGTAGACCTCCCATTGGTTATTAGCACTCTGGGTACCACACCCAAAAAAAATCTTGGACAGCACTTAGAAAATCTGTGCATTGACAAATTTTCTTTCTTTCTTTTTTTTAAAAAGGCAGTGCCTTTATTAGAATCAATGAAACTGTCACAATATAGTTGGAAATTTGTTACATTTCAGCAACAATGTTCCAGAAGAGATTCTAGTACATATAAATTTGACACCTGGATTCAACAAGAACAGTGTCTAATTCACTATATATCTTGCAAAAAAAACATACTGTACATCCTGTTTTGCCAATTTGTCAACAGTGTAGAGAACAACCATATGTTCTTTTTTTGTGTGAAAGTTTTTATTGGGTTTTTCTCCATACATTCAGTAATAATTTTTCAACAAATGTGCTCTGAGTTTACATTTACTAATACATATTTAATTTCTAATCCTTTATTCTTTCCTCTAGCCATCGATAAAATAAGTCCCAAGTTTGATAATATTCTGTTTCTTCTTTTTCTTTCAGTCTCATAGTCAGGCTGTCCATCTCTGCGCATTCTAGTATTTTTTTAATTATTTCTTCATCTGATGGTATTCCTTCATTTTTCTGGTATTGCGCAAATATAATTCTTGCCGCTGTTGTGACATGCAAAATCAATATGCTTTGTTTGTTAGTCTTTTCTGGCATTATACCTAATTTAAAAAGTTCAGGTTTAAAATCTACATGTTCTCCCAACATCTTTTCTAGCCAGGCATGTATCTTTTTCCAATAACTCTTTACTTTGTCACAAGCCCACCAAACATGATAATAAATGCCTGACTTATACCTACATTTCCAACATCTATCTGACATGTTTTTGAACATTTTTGCTAATCTTGCTGGTGGCAAGTGCCATCTATAAAACATTTTATATAAATTTTCTTTGTAGGAATTGACATTGTCAGTTTGTAATTTCTTTCCCATAAATTTTGCCATTTTTCTAATTCTATATTGTATCCAAAATTTTTCGCCCATCTTGTCATTGTTTCTTTAACTTGTTCGCTTTCCATTTTCAAAGTTAATAGAAAATTATACATTTTCTCAATTAGTTTCTCATCAGAAGTTAACAATGTTTTATCAAAACAGTTTGTTCCTTATAAAATCCATACAGTTTAACATTTTTATCATATCTAGCTTGCATTTGTAAATGTGCCCACTATGATAGATTGATATCCTGATTTTCAATTTCTTGTTTAGATTTTAAATTCCCTTCAGAGTTTAGAATATCTCTATATGTCCAGATTTTTTCAAAGTTCACTAAATTTGGGTGTACAAATGCTTCCATTATTGACAACCACCCTGGAATTTTCAAATATATTTTACATTTTTCCCCGTGTTGTTAATTATGCATTTCGTATATAGTGATTTTGGAAATATTTATGAACTTTGTTTTTCCCATACCATAAAAAAATGTGCCACCCCAATTGTAAATCATGCCCCTCCAGATATAACAGCCTTTTATTTCTAAAAGTTATCCATTCTTTTACCCATGTTAATGCAGATGCTTGATAATATAAAACCCACTCTGGTAAACCAAGATCTCCATTTTCCTTGGAATCTTGTAACATTTTCATCTTAATTCTAGCTTACTGTCCTTGCCAAATAAATTTCAAGATTAATAAATTTAAGTTTTCAAAGAATTTTTTCTCAAGTTTTATAGGTATTGTTTGGAATAAGAATAAGATTTTCGTTAGTATGTTCATTTTCACTGTAGCAATTCTTTGTAATATTGACAATTGCAATTTTTTTTCCATTTTTCCAAATCCAATCTTATTTGATTCAATAGCTTCGTATAACTATCTTCTTTTATCGTTGAACATCTTGCTGTTAAATATATTCCCAGATATTTGACCTTTTTAACTATTTGCAATTCTGTTTTTTCCGACATTTGTTTTTGGGGGTTTTTTTTTGCTTATCTGTAAGGTTTTTAACTATTACTTTGGTTTTTTCTCTGTTTATTTTCAGTCCTGCCATTTCTCCGTATTGTTCTATCTTCCCCAATAGTTTAGGAATCATCTCCAAAGGTTCTTCTAGAATAAATACCAAATCATCAGCAAATGCTTGTAATTTATATGTTTCACCTTTTATTTCTAGTCCTTTAATTTCTATATCTTGTCTAATATTTCTATTTAGAACTTCCAAAGTGAAAATAAATAACAATGGAGATAATGGACATCCTTGCCTTGTGCCTTTTCTTATCTCAAAGTTCTCATATAATCTCTGTTCACAATCACTTTCGCTGTTTGTTTATTGTATATTGTTTTTATCATGTTTATAAAGTTCTGTCCAAAATCCATTATTTTTAATTACTGAATCATAAATTGCCAGGAAACATTATCAAATGCCTTTTGAGCATCTAGAAATATTAGTGCCAGTTGTTTCCCTGGATGTAATTCATAATATTCCAATACATCCATTATCACTCTTAAATTATTTTTAATTTGTCTTTTTGGCAAAAAAAAACCCCAAACATTTTGGTCTGAATGTATAAATTCAGTTAGGAATCTTCTCAGTCTCTCTGCCATTATTGAAGTAAAAATTTTATAATCCACATTTAGTAATGATATCGCTGTTGACAATCAGCTGTTTAGCGGAGCGCCATGGCTCCTCGCTTTTCTTCTGGCTGGTGCTGACTTGGGCTGATTTACCAGGCAGCCTTTCCTCCATCCTTTTGGAGGGTTTCTTCAGTCCGTCTGGACCGACTGCCGTCTGATCCGGACTCCTGAGGCATCCCTCCTTCTTCATTGCCCCTCCCAGGGCAACTTTATGACCCTTTGGGATCACTGGGCAGAATGAAATCGGGCTAAGAAGCTGGAGCCCCGGCTTCTTCCACCCGTCTCATTTAACGCCAAACTGGAAACCTCTACAAATTTTCTTATCAGTAAGGTCACATTACTGGAATCCACACATCTACTACACTAATACATCATGATATCATGATATCCTAGTTTGTGGATATAGATATGAATACAGAAAGCCAACACTATGGTAGTTAAAGAACTGGCAGCTATGATTTCCCATTGTTGTGTACTGTAAATAATAGTAAGTGCTCCAGTAGAGTAACCATTGGGCAGAATTTTGAGAATCAATTGTTTATTACTATTGGGTTTTTTTTCAAAACTTGACCCCAGTCTAGCACTATAGAAGAAGAGACACATATTTAATATCCAGCTGGGTAACCATTGTTATCTTTTCAACTAATGTTTTTCAATAAAGAAAAATAATTTTAGAGTCAATATCAATCAAGTTGGGAAGAAAAGATTTGTCTGTTCATGCTATTAGCAATGGTTTCTTCGAAGGCATGTCATGCCTTGGCATTTGCTGTAATACTGATGTAAGGCGGAAATTATTACTTTTTTGTTGTTCCAGAAGAAGAGAAGGTGTGGCTCTGAATCATTTTTAAAATAACTATCTACTTATGCTGGTTCAAAAGCTGTACATCTCTGTGACCATTCACAGTATTGCTCTCACCTGCCCTCAAGAACATTCAGCCTACAAGGTTTTGCCAGATCACAACATGGAAGTGTCTAGAGATTTACCTTTTTTGGTAAGCATCAGTTTTATTTCTATTTGTATCCTCTTATGTGGAGTTAAAACAATGCTAGGTGTCCTTTTTATGTTCTATATACCAGCATGTTGATGGTCAATTGAATGTATCTTAACAATTGTAGCTTTCTGCTTCCCACCCATCTCTTGTGGAAATTATTACAGAATGTGGGAACGATTCAAAATGGGATTCATCAAATGTGAGCAAGGTTATCAAATGTCACGCCTGTGAATATTTGATTTATTTGTCTATTTATTTATTTAAATAAATAAATAAACTCCAGTAGACTCCAGTTACTGGGTTCAGAACAGTACTATTAAGTTGATTGACCTTAGTAATTTAAATAATAAATCTGACTGTGATAGGTCGCTATGGAAAATCAGATACTGTATTAAGCAGGTCATTGGTATTATCCCATAAGGCTAGCAACGGCTTCTCCATTCTCTGTTTATATTCCCACAACTGATATCCCTGTGAGAATCAAGAAATTTTATAGTCAGTTTGTAATGATTATGTAATGAGTCCTGGTGGCACAGTGGTTAGAATGCAGTATTGTAGGCTAACTCTGCCTACATATCAGGAGTTCGATCCTGGTGGGCTCAAGGTTGACTCAAACTTCCATTTTTCTGAGGTTGGTAAAATGAGGACCCAGATTGTTGGGGACAAAATGCTGACTCTGTAAACTGCTTAAAAAGTGCTGTAAAGCAATATGGAGCAGTATATAAATCTAAGTGCTACTGCTATTGCTATTCCAGAATGCAAGCCTACCTGGTAACCTAGGAATAGCCACAATTTGGATCTATCTCTTAACTAAAACATTTGTTAGGGTTGTGCAAATTGATCAAAGTGTCTAAGAGTTGGTATGGTTACTTCAGGTTTATTTTCTGGTTAGGTATAGCTGTGTTTCAGCAGTAGTTCAGGTGAAGGGATTTTCTATGCATACGCATACATAATTACAAGATTATAAAAGATCTCAAAAAGCTCTGATGTGCCTTCCAGAGCCAAGGCTGCCACAGTGCTTCAAGCAATAGTTTGGAAAGTACCTTTACTTGTTTCACAAAGCACCTTTGGAAATGATTTGTGCAGCCTTGGTATTCCTCTTTCTTGAGTGTGAAAATTAATGTCTTGATTTTAATCGTTTCTCCAGAAAGACACTGCCACCTTGGTATTCTGCAATGATAGTTCCTGTTTTACTAAATAAGCAGTCTGAAGGTACAAAAATTACCTGCATACCATCAACAGCAACTCAGAAAAATCTACAAATATAATGTACCACAAGACAGTTTATTTCATTCATACCTTTTGTAAATATGCACAGCTTATGCAAATGATGAATTATTTAAATGTGATCATTATTTCCTCTGTGCTCTGTGAACGGCTAAACTTTAATTGTGTAGAATGTTGCATAAGGAATATTCTGATAATATTCTATTTCTTTTTTTTAATTAATTAATGCAAAGAATGGATATATGCTTGTATTGCCCTGATGTGTATTGCTACAGACTAGAATAAATGAATGGCAATTACACAAAAGTTGTGTATATTGACTATGAGAAAAACTTTTCTAATGATCAGAACTGTTTAACAGCAAGGAAGAGGGGTTTTTTTTTCCCCATTAAAAATACTTTAGCAGATGCTGGATCCCATCTAATGGGGGATTCAATCTTGCAATGGAGGATAAGTCTAAATGACTCTCAGATGCTTACAAGACAATTTGTACCTCTTCTTAATATTATTGCCTAAGCCTTTTAATATTTGCTGGAATAAATATTCAAGTTAATTTTGAGTTTCTGAGATCCATATGGCATTTTTCAGCTCAGCACTACTCTCTTCCAACCATTCCAATTTCTAACCTGCAATTCACACCTTAATGTTGTTTTCAATACATTATTATTATGCAGGGAGAGGTATCACCTTGTTGTTTCCTTACCATAAGAGTGATCAAAGCAAGGAATCTCCGGAAAGCAGATCTGCGTGAGTACACTTTGTATATTTTGTCCCCTTAGTAAACAGTAGTAAACTGGCGTTGGGACTAGATTGCTTAAGGATATTCATTGAGAATCATTCTTCACCACTTCCTGACTTACCAAAGAAAACTAAGGTATTGAAACTTAGTCATTGAATATATTCTTCCTGCCGGATAAACTCTTAACTTCCTTGCATTTTAAAATTCTGATTGTATGGAGGAGAGCTGAGTTTGGAAAAGACATGCAAGAAGGCATGTTTCTCTGACTCTTTCATTTTTTTCCTAATAGACTTTTTACACTGCAAGGAGTGGCACACTCTAACTTACAATTTAAAGCAACATGTAGAACCTGCAGCCTGCAGTAGTTGTTGAAGTACTGTACAACTTTTGGAAGCTCCAGCTAACAAGATCAATTGTCGATAAAGGAAAATATTTGTAGCTCAGGGTTGAAATAAGGGGTCCTTGGTGCTCTCTGAATTTGCTTATTTTCTTGCAGACATTTCATTACCCAAACTAGATAACATCATCAGTGTTAGTAAGGGGTGGGGTTTGCTCTAAATTAATAGACACGTAGACATAAACAACTACATACTGTGCAAAAGAGACAATGAACAAGCCAAAAAAGGAAGCAAAACAACCAAAACACCTCCCCGCCAGCATAGACTAACATCAGACCAAGAATCAAGAAGTAAACAATACCCCAAACAAGGAACTGCCAAACAAGCTAACAGTAAACAGCCCAACCAAAGAAACTCCAAGACCACTCCCACTAACACTGGAAGGGCAAGCCGTCATCCTCATTGTCAGCCATTCAGTCATGTCCGATCCTTGGCCACTCTAGGGATCAGCACTCTCCATGCCCTTTTGTCTCACACTGCCATGGTCATCTCAGTGTCATCCTTTATAGCAGTGGTTCTCAACCTTTTTAATGCCGCGACCCCCAACCGGTCGTAAGTCGAGGACTAAACCGGTCGTAAGTCGAGGACTACCCAACCGGTTGTAAGTCGAGGACTTTCCCTGCCCGGGAGTGCCATGCATGTGTGGTTCTGCCCCCTGCGCCGGCCGAGGCATAGCTGGCAAGCGGCAGAGACGGAGCAGGCCGACCACCAGCTGGCCCAGCCCAAGGGAGGTAAGGCACCCGCCGGAAAAGGGGAAAAAAATGGCGGACAGCCTTGCTTGGCGACCCCCGTGAAATGGTCGATCGACCCCAAATGGGGTCGCGACCCATAGGTTGAGAACCGCTGCTTTATAGTGTCCAGCCAGCAAGTGCTAGGGAAGGCCCCTTCTCCTTTTTCCACTGATCACTCCCAGCATGATTGACTTTTCGAGCGAGTCAGCTCTCATGACACAACCGAAGTAGGACAGCTTCTGTTTGGCGATCTTGGCTTCAAGTGATATTTTGGTTTGAGGTTTGATCTAGGACTTCTTTGTTTGTTATTTTTGCTGTCCGTGGGATGCGTAATAGTCACCTCCAGCACTTCAGATCAAAGGCGCCCACCCTTCTCCTACTTGCCTTTTTCAGAGTTCAAGTTTTGCAGGCACTAGTAGCAACTGGAAAAATTATTGCGTTAAGGCAAGCTACTAGAATATAAATAAAGAGCAAACCCTACTCAGTTTATAGATAGATGCACCACACTATGACCAAAGAAATTCTCCTGCTTTTTATCTTCTTACAATATACAAGTAGTGGTCAATTTATGACCACAATTGAGCCCAAAATTTATGTTGCTAAGTGAGACAGTTGTTAAGTGAATTTTGTCCCATTTTACGACCTTTCTTGCCACAGTTGTTAAGTGAATCACTGCAGTTGTTAAGTTAGTAACATGCTCGTTTAGTGAATCTGGCTTCCCCATTGACTTTGCTTGTCAGAAGTTCACAAAAGGTTCATATGACTCCTGCAACTGTCATAAATATGAGTCAGTTTCCAAGCATCTGAATTTTGATCACATGACTGTGGGGATGCTGTGGGGTTTTAAAGTAATTTTTAACTACTAGACCAATTATTAATATTTGTTTTTAATTATGTTTTTAATTTGTAGTTTTTTGGTAGTAGCATTTTATCTGGTTGTTAGCCGCCCTGAGTCCGCAAGGAGAAGGGCGGGATATAAATTAAATTAATAAATAAATAAATAAATAAATAAACAGTTGTAAGTGTGAAAAACGGTCATGTGACTTTTTTCAGTGCCATTGTAGCTTTGAACAGTCACTAAATGAACTGTTGTAAGTCAAGGGCAACCTGTACATCATTCTGCTATGCCCTTTAACATTAGATTGCAAATATAGGCCAGATCAAAGGAGGGAGGATCAAGAGATATTATGTATACATAAAAGTTTATATGCTGTTCATCTTCAGGTGTACCAATGTTGCCTTAATCTTCTCTGTAATGTATGCTACAGAGTAATATCACTGGAACATAGTTATTTATACTTTGATCTTTTAAAACAGTAAGCCATCCTGACTGCTACTCAAAGCTACAGCTGCCAACTGCTTCACCTACACAGTTCCAAACAAAAACCATTCACAACTGCAAAGACCCCGTCTGGAATGAAACTTTTCATTTCATAGTGCAGCCCAAAGTAAAGGTAAGAAACTCAGTGTTAATTTTATTTCAGTGGTTGTGTGATCATGGCAGGGCAGAAGACGTGAATAATTAGGAAATCTATGGCCGGTCAAAAGTTAGTATACTCTGAGATTCATGTGCCAAGCTCATTCCTTTCTTTCATAGACTTTAAGGCAATTTTCATTTATATTTCAAATGCTGTGTCTTAAGTTGGTGAATTCTATGCAGCTGGTGTATTGGATCCAAACACTGACAAAGTGGATCTTCAGGGGCGCAAAAGGGGATGGCAACAGAAGTTGTAACAGGGCAATACAAGTCCCGTTCCTTTTCAATATTCAGCACGAAACCTCACTCATGCACAAAAGGGGCAGAGCTTGCAGCACGAAGCCAAATGCAGTCTTAATTTCTCTGATAAAAAACACCAATCTTCTGTAGATGTCTATGGAGATTCTCAGTCATCCAGGTCATAGTTGTCCCAAAGGTGCTTTTTTCAAGAGGCAAGTAGACTTTCTTGTTATTCTTTGAAGATGTTTCTCTTCTCATCCAAGAAGCTTCTTCGGCTCTGCAAGGAATATAAATCCTTCCATTTCCCACCATCCAGTGAGAGCTGAAGAAGCTTCTTGGATGAGAAGTGAAATATCTTCAAAGAAAATGTCTTCAAAGTAAAACTAGAAAGTCCACTTGCCCCTTGGAAAAGCACCTTTGGGACTTCTGTAGATGCCCATAATCAATGTACTTGTAGCCTCCATTTCCAAAACTTGACATTTTGAGCAGCTGTTAGACCTACCATGCAAGGAGTATCGACTTCCACAATCCTACAGAAGTGCTTTCTTATCAGTTCAACCAGATTCCTATTTTTTAATAACAGCAAAGAATGAAATATACAGCACATCTCATCATACACTTCCTTTTACCTAAATTAAAAAACCTTCATTCTCCTTGCCCAGTGCTATCCCCATCCAAATGTATATTCCACACTTTATGATATGTCTATTTAACAACCTTTCATTTCTTTTACCAGAATGTGTTGGAGCTGAATGTTCATGATGATGATGTCTGTCAGGATGACCATCTTTTCACTGTACGCTTTGATATAGCAAAACTCCCGTTGAATGAAAAAGTGCTCATGCATTTTAACTGTAACCAAAAGGTCTGTGTAATCTTAATTAACATTTTAACAGAGCAATTTTGGGTGTTTACTCAAAAGTAATCAATTATTTTGCATGCACATGCACACATCAAATAGATGTAATCTTTTCCCACCCTGAACTAATATACAAACTAGAGTGCAATTATCCTTTTATTTTCACACTTTACTAAACAGTATAGTGAAGCTTTAGTAAAAAAAAATGCACATGTAAAAATGTATTATGGATAGGTTTATATTGTAAAAAATGCCTTGCAAAAAAAATTATGTTAGGGAAAATTGGTGCAAAACTATATCTGGGTTTTTGAGCATATGAAAAAAAATTGTTTTGGTTGGAAGGCATTTATTTTTAGAATCCAAAATTATGTAGTAACTGGAGGGAACATTTGCTTGCAGAAATCTGTTTCTATCTTATTTTTCTTTTGCTTTACTGTGTTTTATTCTAGCATCATTTTTCCATCATTGAAAACCATTTTGTAATGTTTCTATAAAGATGTCTGGCATGTACTTTTCAAAATAAATATAAATACATTTTGAAGCATAGCAGCTCCGTATGATAACCTCTAAAATAAAAATCCTCTAAAAAGAATTGTAGATTTTGTTAACAATCAGTTATAGACCAGAGAGAGAGAGAGAGAGAGAGAGAGAGAGAGAGAGAGAGAGAGAGAGAGAGAGAGAGAGAGAGATGAGCTTGAATTTTTCCTTTCTTGAGACTAGTCCATCTTTTATGGCTACAATGAGAGTGAAATGGAGTTAGTAGACAGCTAACTTAGGGTCTTGTATCTCATTCTCAGAGCACTGGAAATGACATACAAATGTGAACTATGCAATCATTCAAACTTGCATATACTACCCAACCTATCATGCTGGTGATATTAAGAGATTTGGAATAATATCTTTTTTTTTTTACTGTTCTACTCTTAGTTCCATTTGATGTGCCCATTCAACCATTATGATTTAGTGTTATAAATTTATTCAGCAATTGTGGTTAAAATCCAGGTAGTATTATTCTTGAACATAACAGTAATACAAAGAATAGGCATCTTTGTGCCAGCTGTAGTGAGATTACAGCTCTCAGAATTCCTAAAAAAGCGTTTAGAACTTATTTTGGTAGGAAAATGTGCACTTATTTTCCTCTAATTTCAGGAACATGAGGAGCTGGAATTAGAATTTGAGTTACTACACAGGTGGGTAAAATCAGAATCTAAATAATCTCTACAGAATCTACAATATCCCTGCTTGTCATCTGTATGAAATACTGGGGAATATTTTCCTTCACTGATAGTAAGACCTAACGATACTCTACTGTTTAGCAGTCCTGCTTTGCAAAACCTCATAAGAAACTTTGTATTTTAAACATCCTGAGCTACTAGTGGTTTTCCCTGTTGTTTTCAACATTTCTAGGAATTGCCATTAGGCCTTTTTTTTAACAATAACTTTAAGAATCCTGCCTTGCTGTATCACCTTTGCTTATGTATAGCAAAATAAAGTAATTATAATATGATTTCTTTTTTAGATCAAGAATGTCTGAAATAATCATTACAAATGGAGTTCTTTTGGTAAGTATTTAATCTACGGTACTTGCCCATGATGCTGTCTTCTTCATTAAGAATAATTGAGACATCCTTTTCATAACCAAACCTCAAATCTTTTTTTGTGTAAATTTGATTGTGGCTTTGCAAAAAAAAATTGCTTCTGTTCTAGCTTATTATCTCAGGCTTGTAAACATTTATTTACCAATTTATTCCATTTTACCTGACCTTTTTAGTCAAGCTATCGGTAGAACTTGAAGTGGTTGAAATTCCAGCACTATTTGCTTTCCATACAAAAAGAAAAAAAAACACATTTTTTTCCCAATTGTGTCCTATTTGTTTTTTTACTATAAAGTTATCAATATATAGATATTCCATCTCTTTCTTATAATAAATATGTGTAAAAACTGCTTTTTTTTTTACTATTTCTAGGGCTATTTTCTATAGTGCAAGCAATATATAAAATAAGAATATTTTACATGTATCAATATACTTATATTTTATATATCATATATTATGAATATATAGTAATAGTAATAAATAAAACATTAAAAATAAAATATTTTTATATTTATTAAACCATCCCACTGATCTAGTAGTTAGATTCCTTGTACAGATTTTATATATTTTATATATTATATGTTAAATACATACATACATACATACATACATACATACATATATACATACATACATTTTTCAAAATTTGGATTGCTAACAAAGAATATTTGTCACTTTAAATATATTGACAAAAGAGTTACATTTCAGTAGTTGCTCTCAGCCATATTATGTTATAGGAATGATAAATCCACTGTTTTCACTATTGTTTTCAACACTTGTAGGAATTGCTATAGGAAGTTTTTAAGAAGAGACTGGACAGCCATTGGTCTGAAATGGTATAGGGTTTCCTGCCTGAGCAGGGGGTTGGACTAGATGACCTCCAAGGTCCCTTCCAACTTTATGATGATGATGATGATGATGATGAGGATGAGGATTATTATTATTATTATTATTATTATTATTATTATTATTATTATTATTATTATTATTATTATTATTATTATTATTATTATTATTATTATAGCCAATGGTGGGATTCAAATATGTGAACGACCGGTTGTCTGTAGGGATGCTGCTTCCGGAAGTCCATTCTGGGCCTGGGCAACAAAAAATTAGCTACTGGTTCTGCCGAAGTGGTGCGAACCAGCTGAATCCCACCACTGATTATAGCAATTCATCCACCACCACCACCACCCCAAACAATGCTGGTTGGCATACCATCCTGTCATTCAGATGGAAAACCAATAGCAGGAATTTTACACTTTAATTTCGAACTTAGTGTCTTCTAATATATCCTTGTGTTTCTTTAGTCTCGACAAGTTTCCTGTTTGGAGGTCGAGGTGGAGAAGAAAAAGGCGCAAAACTCAAGTAATATTACTTTTTCTGTAAACTCACAGAAGGTGTAACATCTGTAATCATGCAGGGTGTGGCTCCCACCCTGATGGTATTCCAGAAATTTAAAAAAAAAAACTGGCTGTTCTTCCAGTTCTTGGGGTAGGGTGGCTGCCAAGTCCCTGACATTTCTGGTACTATATGGAGTTTCTCCTGTACAGACATTTATTTATTTATTTATTTTATTAAACTTCTATGTCGCCCATCTCACTAAGGTGATACTAAGCAACTTTTTGATGTATTCTCTTTGTCGTTATTTATCTGCTCCAATGTCTCTTAAAGTATGCTCCAGGATCCTCAGAGATTCTCAACATTTTGTCAGCCTAAACAATATTAAAATCCCTAAGCACATGGGAAGCGGCATCATCATCAAATGTGTCAGTTTTAATTTTTGATATGGTACTTAACAATAAATATAACTCATACAAACAAAAGGTCTCTTGGGGCCCTCTATTATTTTTTTTTTAAAGTGGGAAGGGATTCTTGAGAGGAAAAAAGTTTAAGAAACACTGATCTGCTCTTTTAAAATGTAAACTGAATTGCTCTGGAGTTGGGTGGCCAGTAAATCTAACAGATAAATGCGATTCATCAAGAATTATCTCTTTAACCTATTTCAGTTCTAGTCAAACTGTGTGAAAAAGATATTTCTAATAAAGGAATATCGTCATTTGAAATGAGTGAAGTACCAGGCAACATTGTATACTGTATTTACTCTACAAGAACATGGAGCTGGATTTTTTCTTCTACGTCTCTACTTGTGAATTGGGACTGGTGGTGCTCTTAGTTCTGTTGAGAAGAATAAAAGACCAGGTTGAGAATAAATGGATGAGCAGGAACAACCTGCCTCCAGAAGCGGTGAATGCTCCAACACTGGAAGTTTTTAAGAAGAAACTGGACAGCCATTTGTCCGAAATGGTATAGGGTTTCCTGCCTGAGCAGGGGGTTGGACTTGATGACCTCCAAGGTCCCTTCCAACTTTATTATTATTATTATTATTATTATTATTATTATTATTATTATTATTATTATTA